TATCACAGTTCCAAGGAGGTCAGTCGTGACTTCAACAGATGAGTGTCATTGTCTCAAACTGCGAGACTGGATGACATTGGTTTGAATCACATAGGGAGTGTCAATTTTCTGAAGACTGTAGGTTCACCTTGTCGATAAGTGTCAACCAGTACAAAATTTAGGAACGGCATTTCCTACTTTCAACAACTTCACTGCAATGGGTTATTTTCGAGATAATACCTATGTTTCGTATATTGCTTATCCTGATTACTTTGAATAGATAACTTCCAACAGTATGTGAATTTCAGAAGACAATACAAAGAGCTGACAATTATTTATTGTCATACAGCGCAGATCACAAAACTACAAGCATATGAAGCGAATACGATCAGAGAGACCATAGATTTTATAATCTCCACAGTCTTACAGTTTTAACAAATAAGATATTATTAGACTACACCAATATTTTTATAAATAATCTTCTACACGCTATATTTAAACTTTAGCAGAAATAGCGTTTAGTTATCTCATCTATGCAGCAAAAGGTTGAACGAAAAAATTGGCTAATTCTGAATGTTGTTAAAAGAGCCAGTGAAAAAATAACTGTTTTTTAGAAGAGCTTTTAAAACATCAATATAATCGATTAGAAATTGCTAAACCGATAATTAAAACAAGGTGAAAATGAAAAATTAGGACGAAAAATACTAAGAAAATGTTTTTGAAAGATTTCAATATCAAAGAAAATTTGATATTTGGTGAATTCGCTTCTAATTTGAAATTAACCATGATCAATAATGCTTATTAAAAAAAATATTAAACATTCGAAATTTCATCATAGTTCTGAAAATTGAACAAGGCCAATAAAATTGTGCAGGTATTTCGAGTAATTTATTGAATTACAAAACTGATGTAAAAATAAACCTTAACGTGTAGTGAGTGTATCATATTTCTCTTGCATATTCATCCTGTATTCATGCTTATGCGAAGTTGTGATTGCACAATAGTGAAAATTTTTTCGGTTATCTGTATCGCCCAGCTAGTGATTATTCATTTTTAAAAGCAAACCAGTCGATGTAAATTAATGACGACAACTGTCCTAAATAATACAGACAATCTGTTCAGGTATTTTTATGAAGATCTTGAGTAATTTGACAGATCGTGTATTGAAAATCAGTCAGTTGCTTTATTTTTGTTTCAGACATTTAAATCATCTATGCCGTACACAAATTCTAAAATTGGTGACGTCAAAACCTGTAGTGCGTAAGATTACATTCAACCACTGGGTCAAAATCCAATTAAATCATATTTTCATTGTTAGCTAATTTGTGATACACCACAATATCATTCAATATTATTCACAAAATATCTGAACCGATTTCGCCTTCAAGAATTCTTGCTTCTCAATAAGTTAGGCCCTATAAATACGTAAGCTCAAATATACACTGACTTACATAGTTTGTACAAGTTTAAATTGGCACTCATGCTTATTTGCATAAACATCTGACTGACAGAAAAAATCATTTCCGTTTTTTTTGTAATAAAACCAATGAACTATGATAATGAAGAAGCTTAACAGTTGGAAAATACAAACATTCACGCTACAAATCAGATTAACATATTGCTTAAATGGATTGAAAAACTATGCATAGATTACAATACATCATATAACCAAATCATTTATCATAAATCAAAATCAAACAGAACTTTATCACAATAAAGTAAATTAACAAATAAATAGGCTGATATAATCAATGATATCTTATACCATTATACATATAAAATATCCGTTTGTTAACCAAAGGACGAGTGTACTGCGCAGCAGTTAGCTCTGTCCTATGTCCGTGAAACATGGCCAATCAGAGAAGAAGATATTTGTAGGTTACTAGTTTCCGATCATAGCTGTCTCCGAAGCATTGCTCGTGTATCATGGGACAACCGAGTAAGCAATGCTGGTGTTAGGAAACTGGTGATAGGTAAGGATGGCAGATCAATAGATGAAATATTGAAACTTCATCAGCTGAAGTTGTTGGGACTTGTGTTGCGTATGCATAACCACGACTGCCTCGTCGAGCTTTGTATTGCGGTGTAGGAATAGGTTGGACGAAAGCTATGGGCGGCCAGACCAAAACATAGCACAAATCCATGAAGTCAGTGACAAGTGGACTGAGTCATGTCGGTAGGTGTCGAATAACTGGTTGGGGTCCACGAGATGATAATAATCGGTGGTTGGAGACCCTGAATGACATGACTCAAAACCATTTGCAATAGAGCAGGTGCACCCACTCTTTGTGTTGTCTCAAATCATAACCTTTTGAATTCCCCATCACCTTTATCTTCTTTTAAGTTGATTTCTTTAGATTCTACTTCTTGAATAATATCTCCGAACCCTAATCTTTATGATTACTGCTAATAGTTTTACTACCTCTACTACTATGGGATTTGAATTGACGATTGTATATCTGTGCTAATGTGATTTGGCAACTTGAATTGATGTACATACCTCCGACGTTCTATGTTGTTGTTGACACTGATTGACTGACACATACAAAATAATGTAAATTTCCAATTCTCAAATCACTACTAGCAGACAACATCATGAGTATTCTCCTGTTGGTAAGTTTGAAACATAAGGTTGAGTAATCCAAACATAGGACAGATATTGTGTATTCTAATCACTATTCATATCTATGAGTAAGCTACCAGATGGAAATTAAATAAATAGTAATGAATCAAGATTATTTCTTTGATTATTTTAGTTATCCAAGTTGAATACAACGTTTAACGCAATAAGTGATCTAAGTAGACTTATCAAATAAGTCTAAAACCATTCATTTCTCTCTGAATAGTACATTGTGTTCAATTCTAAACTGACAACAAGACCACTTATTTGTACAGTGTACAAGTTACGTTTACAACCTGAGATATTTATCAGATATATGAAGAAAATGATAAAAACATTTACAACTGATTTATTTATCTTAATTGTCTTAAGGATATACAACACTGGTAGAGAGAGGCTTATACTTATTTTAAGCGTTAAGACTTAATTACACGAGGAAGATAATAGTAAAGTATTAGTGTATTATATGAGTAAATAGATTGAAAAACAAACTGAAAACAATGCTGTAGAGAATGTATCAATTATGATAATAGAAGAATCAGTGGATGTTGAAATTTAGGAGTGGTAACATTCAAAAATAATCTATAAGGTTGAATATTAATTAACTGCATATATTTATTGAAATAAAGTATCGTCAAATGACAATCTCAAGAATTCATCATAACTGAGTGTCTCCTTGGGAATAAAGCCAAACTAGTAATCTCATACGATCTCGATTGCTCATCAATATTAAGGTCATATCTACGCAACTTACATCCTTGAAGAAACCGGATATTTTTCAGTTATTAACATCATTATTTTCAAATGGCGACTGTTCATGGTGGAACAGAGACAAAAGTCTTTGACATTATGGTTTTAAAAATACAACTGTGTATATGATATGTGATTAATAATATAAAAATATTTACACTATGATAAATAAGATGTAATTTTTACAGGGGAATAAACATTCAACAAAAGTTTTAATTATATGAAAACTAAAGTGTTGAATTTTGCTACCCAATTAAAAAAAACTACATCGTTATTTTATATTTTAATATTTTTATTCCACAAATTACTGCCCTAATTTCAAGACAATTGTCACATGAAATTGCATCAAGAAAGAGTATAATGAATTATGCAACATTAAAAAAATATATACAAATCTTTGCATGAGAAAATAGAAAACAAAAACAACACCTATTAAATTACCCAAGATGAGGTTAAATAAAACTTTACAATCGTATAATAATCTACTTCTACAGAAAACTGTAACAATAACAACAACCACAGCTATCTAATTCACACACTAAACTTTTTCAAGTTTCTTTTTCTTCATGGAACTATAATACATCACATGTATACCAATTAAGTAATACAAAAAACAGTAGTTTAGATAGATTTTATAAATTATTTTTGTTTCTTCTTGTAAACTATATTGATTAAGTAGAAATCTATAAAACTGTCAGCTGATAAAAGAAAATCTCAAAAGACTGAAGAGAGCAAATATAGAAGGATTTCACAGGTAAACATGATTTTCACACTGATTCCATTCAACAGAATATACTTTACTATTGTAAAGCAAAATGAAATTATGTGTCTCCTTAAACTTACATTTAAACAGCTTCTATCTGAATTATGTAATACAATATGTACTGTATTAAAAACATTGTCGATGATTTCTAGGTGAAATCAATCGTTCTTTTTTTCATAGTAGAAATCATGGAAATTAAGCAACTATAAAGTTTCTCATTGCACCTATGAGACCTATAGGTAATAATAGCAGTAATTTATGTAATCGTAGTATGGTGAACGGTAATTTGACTTCGATTTGGATGAATGATTAAATATGCTATGATTAAAAAAGCGCCCATTTAATTCCATACATAACAGTTGGGCTAATCCAGTTTGTGCGATGGCAGTAATAAGTAGCCAAATGGGGATTCAGTTGGATGAGTTTATTTCATACATTCATTACAAATGAACAGCAGCGAATGAGATTTTGAAAATTTTTACGGATCTAATTATTAAACTGATGCTTTTGAACCATTAAATTGTAATCTATCAATTTCAATTTTTGGACTTTCAGTTTATTTGTGATATAGTTCGCTGCTTAATCAATGAATTTCTAATCTTAATCGTGAGATAGTTGACCAAACATAACATGCAGCTTCACCAGAATACCATCCAAGAGATAGCTAGCTTCGTTTCTAAAATACTTAGCTGTTCGAAAATTTAGCTAAACAATGATCATTGTCAACGAAACATACAATTTAACTAATCTATTAGTACAAGTCCCAAATAAGACGAAACACGATTTTCGGACAACATTGCTATAGCTAAATGTCAGAAATACTAAAACTATATTGTTAAGCTTTTAGGCAAAGACAATAATTTCACTTGAAATTAACAATTAACATACCTTTACACAGTATATGGCATTTGTATTTCTATGACAGCATTTATGTACAACTGAAAAGGAGCCTTTACCGATTTCTTCTAATAAGATATAATCGACTAAGAACGGTTTATATTTTACTCCTGGCAAACCAGTTAACCGAAGAAGACGCTTTGCCACTGTAGGAGTTAAAGGAGGAAGATCTTCTGGAAGGTATGCGGGATTTGCACGATCTTTATGTAAGAGAGACAATAAAAAAGGATTATTGAAAAGATAATTATAGTATTTTGTCATACTCCTTTATATAAAAGATGGTCGAAGTACACAAAAAACTATCCGTAGATATTGAAACGTGTTTTAGAAACTCTAAAAATAATATTTAACTCATCTAAAAGTCATTAAAAATAAATTATCTTCACCAGAGGAAAAGCTTATTGATAACTTTGTTACTTCAGACTTTTATCTTAAATTTATCTCCGAGTGCTATTAAGTACAAAATAAAAACATATGTTACTCTGAACTCAGGTTACAAATAAGAAAGATTTTGAGTGGTAAAAGCTACAGACAACAACAAACCACATATAATATTAATGATTAAATCAATAAATACTTCTTTAGTTTCATTTTCAAGCAGATCATTGTTCATATTTTCACATCAAATACTTCACTTAGTCAACGTTCACGTATTCATATATATCGGTGTCGAAGTGCCTAATAATCGCTAATTGATCTAAATGCCATGCTACCGGTAATGCTTTGGTATTCATAAAGTTCCTTCAAGGTTAAATTTCAACTTTTATTCAAACGAATTCGTGTCAACCGTTGTCAGCATGATATCGGTAATGGCATATCATTTCGCCTCACTTCTAATGTTCAGTGATGCAAAGGTGAAGGGAATCACCATTTTTGTTAATGTAACATGTTCCTCAGTCGATGAAATTTTTTTCAAAACGATGTTGCGGTTGTCTTTACTTGCTCTTGTCTTTTGGTTCTTATACAATGTAGTACGGTGACTTTGTTATTTTGAGAGTAACTTTGCTTCCAAAAGGCTTCATCATCCTAGTGATAGTTTCTGAAATATTCCTTATATATGGTAACGTAACCTGTTTCTTGGTTTCAGAGATTGGTTCCTTGACGGTATGTTCATTGGCTAAAAACCTTTTGATGAATTTATTAGAGTATCCATTCTTAAGAAAGACCGACTTGAGATGAGTTACTTTAATTTTTTTATAATGTAAGGATACTGCAATGGGTTTTGGAATTTATGAATAGTGTCTAGACATAACTCTTTATAAGTGTAGTTGGGCTGCTACTGTTCTAGTCTGATAGTTGATTCATATGTTTACATTAGTATGAACATAAATTTAGAAATTATATAATATACTAAAGAAATTCTTTAGTGTACCTGATGAAAATAAATATAGGATGTATTTACCGAAGACAAAATACTGTTGTCAACTATAAGCACGGATACATAAATATAAATATATATATATATATATATCATACATATCGATAAAAGCATGATATTAATCGATAAGTAACAGTTCATTCTCTATCAATAACACATACCATCATCGTGTCTAGAATTATAATTGAATTTCTCTTTCTGTGAACTCAAACAAGTAGTGCTTGTTCTATTCAATACATCTTTATCAGGGTTACCATGATTAGTGCAATTATTTGTGTTTGTATTGTTCTGATGATGATGATGCTGATCTGAGAAAAATCCAGGCGCTACATAACTGAATTCACGAAACAACATATGCGCCGATGCACTGGCTGGTGGACATGGTGAGTCTGTTGATGAAAATAATTTATTTTTTGGAAAAATAAATAAAATTATTAATAATAATATAAAAATTAATAAAATAAATAATTCATATATATATATATATATATATATATATATATATATATATATATATATATATATATATTTACATCGTTTCTATCGATTAAGGATTACAGTTTAAGTACATTAGATCGGATAGATGGTCTCGAGATAAGAGATTATTTCATGAAGAGTTGAAAATAAAATAGTTAGTCTCCTACCATGTTTGAAAAGAATGGTGATCAAACAATACTGCCAACAGTTAACAATTTACATCATTAATTCACATGACACTTTTCCATCCGTTTTGACAGGACTGAGTTGAGTTGAAAAATTCATCTCTAGAAACATAAGCTACTTGTCTGAAACCCCTAACAAGAACAGTGTACATCAAGATTAGATTGTAGTAGAAAGATTCTGAATCGTTTCTTTTATGTTTCTTAAACTTATGTTAGTATACTTCGTTTATATATTTATTTATTCTAAAGAAGTGATGTACATTGAATCACGAAACGTTTAAAATACTAATTCCCACTCATTGAGATATCATCATAAATATAAGTATTTTATTACGTTTTACAATGCACATTATAAAATTAGTTACACCATGCGATTACAATGTGTATACATTCACATTAAACACTAACAAACACATGTAAACCGAATCGGAACAATTCCGCAAAGATCTATAGTCTGTTCAATAAACGAGATGCATGAAATTACTGGTTTGAGTAACTCCATAATGCACAACTTTAATCCTCAATAAAATATATGACTAAATAAAATACTTTACTATAAGATGCCACTGTATCGCAAATCCATTTTCAGCTTTAATCGATTTTCAAAAAACTTTTTCCAAATATTTTCGAAATATATCATTATAATTCGACGATTTTTGGCCAAAAGTTTATTACATCATATCAACCGTATATATATATATATATATATATATTCACTTTTTTTCATAACCCATCATATGCCTTAGTTATGAATACTGCAGCAAGTACCTACCATGTGGTGTACGTGATGTATATTCTGGATCGAAATTTAAAATATCATTAATTGATGAACAAGGAGGTTTAAATGGCGGTTGAATACGACCATTCAATAAATCATCCCAATTGATTGTACTGAAAAATTCATGATTTTTTAACTGTTCAAATCCATCTGGTCCATATCCTAGTTGAAAAAAAAGATGAAAAAATTGATCTAGAAAATAACGATGTCAGCCAATCCACTTTTAACGCTAAATATAGAACAGCCGATTACATGAATTGGCTAAATGAGATTTCTTATTTTGGAATTAGTATATGCATGGTTTGATGAACAAGGTTTTTTTGATTGGTGAAATAAATAGAGAAGTAAAATCCTTAATTCATAAAGGAAATTAACTGATAAGATAAATGGCTAAATGACAGATGTTCACAAGATTGTATTATCAGCGTAAGCTCTCAATTGATTTGACATCATTACTATTAGCTAATAGGAATACTGATACATAAGTTATTGAAGGAAAAAATAAACATCTTAAACGATTGGTGATAATCTTATTTTCCAAGTCATATCCTCACCAATAGATTTAATAAGTAAGTCAGTTACAACATAGAATTTCCCTGACCAAACTGCTACCTTGACGTGGTGGTCCGGCTTGCCTATCGTGATGACCCAACCGAGCCATATTGACTGGAACTTATATTCCTGAAGGTTCTACCATGCCAGGCAGGTCGATTGGAGAACGATGAGACTAAAAGCAACTCCTCAAAGTCTGAGGGCGAAGTCGTACTGCTGATTGTGATGAAGGGGTGTGACAGCAGTAAGGTGTTTCCCTTGGACAACTAGCATCTGCAGCGATGCTGCCGTCTCACAAGGAAGGAAGGGATTAGAAAAGGTCGACTCTAAAAATGTCACACCTCACCCTACCTCATGGATTTCCGGCTCCGGCGGTAAGGGTGCCCACTAGGGGCTTTCAAGAGAGGATCTAACACTAAGAAAACTTCTCATAAAAAGGCCGTGCGTGACCGGCCTCAAGCAGTTGTCCCTTGTGCTCTGCGGTCACGCTCCCAGGTCGTTAAGACCAACGCTAATCTATCTTCATTTTTAAGTTCCTCAAGACAAAACCTTCCACGGTGTGGGCAGCCGGGAAGTGACGACCGCCCTCATACCAGTAACAGCACACGAGACCAAATTGGTCAAAATCAAATCCTTCCTACACCCCCTAATACCTCTCTTATCTTCACGACTAACTCTTGTCACATTCCTTTATCACACTGCACAGTTAATGCAAACGATGCGAGTTCACGGAACGTCATTTCTGTTCTCCTTAGAGCCCGCTTCAGACTACATGTTGGAGCATTTAATGTATGGACATTGTGTCAAATAGGGCAACAGGCTTCCTTAGCTAGGACTTTAGAATCAGGATCCGAGAAGGATCATTCACTTGATCTCATCATGTCAAGATAAAGAAGCAACTCGATTTACCCTTCATGTATCCGGTAGCCCTGATGCTGTTTCCAGGGGATCGCTGGTGTAGGTATAGCATTGAGTCGTAGGGCAGAACAATACCTCCTTGACTGGATCGCTGCAGATAGTCGCTTGTGAGCCGTCCGACTTATCGGGACAGTAAGGATTCGGAAGGATAGGGACACGCGTCGTTGCCTCTTCGTCATATCTGTCTATGCCCCCACTGACTGCAACCCAGATGATGTAAAAGATGAGTTTTACAGAAAGCTTTCGGACTTCCTCCAAGAAGTTAGGCGCTTTGATGTAGTAATAATGGCTGGTGACTTCAATGCTCAAGTAGGTAGACTAGGTGAAAAGGAAAGACATCTAGGTGGATGTTATGGTGTAGCGACTGAGAGAACAGACAATGGTGACCGTCTGTTGCAACTATGCTCAGATAACCAACTATTTCTAGCAAACACTAACTTTAGGCATAAGGAAAAGCATCTGTTGACCTGGCGACCCCCGAAGTCGTCTCAACGTTGGACCCAACTAGATCACATCGCCATCAGCCACCGATGGAGGAGTTCCATAGAAGACTGTCGCTCGTTCTGGGGCACATGTTTGGATTCAGATCATGCTCTAGTGCGAGCTCGTATCTGCTTAAGGCTTACTGGACGTAGGAAAGACACCGTAAGTAAGCCTCTTAGGGTTTTACTTAATGATAATAAGGCGAAGAATATATTTCAGGAACAACTAGAAAGACAGTTAGGCGACCATCTAAGCGATTCCCATCCGGAGTCAGGTTGGAATGATATCGAAAAGGCTGTGGAAACAGCAGTGATATCTGCTAGCAAGGTAAACCAGAAGGCTAGGATGAAGCCGTGGATCTCAGTAGCATCCACCGAACTGATGGATGCTCGAAAACGCATCCCACCTGACTCTGAACATGATGAAGAGCGTAGTAAGCTTAGGTGCAGACTTATAAAAAGCCTCTACGTAACGAACAGTGGTGGGTGGAGAAAGCAAAAGCGATGGAAAAGGCAGCGGCGATAGGCAACACTAGGCAACTATTTAGACTCATCAAGGAAACTGGTATTAGGAACCCAAGTGTGAGTGAGACTATTTCGGAAAAGGATGGTCTTCTTATTTATTCTCAATCCAGGAGACTGGACCGATGGACAGAACACTTTAGGGATCAGTTCAACTAGTCTTCAACCACACTTCAGTTACCCACGATCTCCAGTCATCCTGAATGGCAAATCGATTTAAGTCCTCCCAGTCTACATGAAGTTGAGAAAGCTATAGGAAATATAAAGGGAGGTAGAGCAGCAGGTCCTGATATGCTTACGCCTGAGACGCTTAAGAATGGTGGTCCATTTTTAACAGTAAGACTGACCGAGATCCTAGGCAGGATCTGGGAACTGGACGTAATCCCATCTGACTGGTCTCAGTCGCTAATTGTCCCAATCTACAAGAAAGGAATAAGTCTAACTAATATAGTTTCTAAATTGTTAGCCTCGATTTTACTTAGACATCTAACTAGAGCTCGTGAAGAGCAGACTAGAGAAAACCAGGCTGGTTTTCGACCTAGACGTGGTTGTATAGACCACATTTTCACACTACGACAGGTCCTGGAACACAGACACACATTTAGACGTCCGACAATAGTCGTGTTCCTGGATCTAAAAGCGGCATTTAACTCAGTGGAGCGCGAGGTTCTTTGGTAGAGTCTGTCATTGAACGGTGTACCAAAGAAGTATATTAACCTTATACAAGCTCTCTACTCAAACACCACTGGTCGAGTGAGAGCTTACGGAGAACTGTCACCGGAATTCTCTACATCAAGCGGTGTCCGTCAGGGATGTCCACTCTCTCCATTCTTGTTTAACTTTGTCGTAGAGATCCTCTTAGATTTAACATTAAGCTCGTCAGCTTTTTCAGGGGTTGACCTTCTACCTGGAAATTCGCTTACTGATCTAGAATATGCCGATGACATTGTTCTATTCGGTGAAGACGCTGACAAAATGCAGAGTCTTCTGACTACCATAAGCAACAATGCAAGCATGTTCGGGATGCGGTTTTCCCCCTCGAAATGCAAAATGTTGCTTCAAGATTGGGTTGCATCGGCACCTGAACTAGTGATAGGGAGTGAAGTAGTCCAGCGTGTTGATCACTTCACTTATCTTGGGAGTCTCATCAGCTCTGATAGCCTGGTGACTGTCGAAATCTCAGTGCGGATACAGAAAGCTCGATTGGCTTTTGCCAACCTGCGTCACTTATTGTGTAGGCGAGATACCCGTTTGTTAACCAAAGGACGGGTGTATTGCACAGAAGTTCGCTCCGTTCTCCTATATGGATGCGAAACATGGCCGTTAAGAGTAGATGTTCGTAGGCTACTAGTATTCGATCATAGATGTTTAAGAAGCATTGCTCGTATATCGTGGGGCAGCCGAGTAAGCAATGCTGTTGTTAGGAAACGGGTGCTAGATAAGGATGGCAGGTCAATAGATGAAGTGGTGAAACTTCATCAGTTGAGGTGGTTGGGACATGTGTTACGTATGCCTAACCACCGTCTGCCTCGACGAGCTATGTTTTGCAGTGTAAGAGTAGGTTGGAAGAAAGTTAGGGGCGGCCAAACCAAAACATGGCACAAATCCATGAAGTCACTGACAAGTGGACTGTGTCATGTTGATAGATGTAGGCTACCTGGTTGGGGTCCGTGAGATGATAGTAATCGATGGTTAGAGACCTTGAATGACATGGCTCAAAATCGTTTGCGATGGCGCAAGTGCATCCATTCTTTGAGCTCTCTCAAATCCTAATCTTCTGGATTCGTCAGCACATCTACCTTTGTCTTTCTAACCTAATCTCACTGAATTATACTTCTTGAATAATATCTTCAAACCCTAGTCTTCTTCATTACCATTAATACCTCTGCTATCCCTATCACTATGGGATTTGATTTGACATTTGTGTCTCTGTGCTGATGTGGTATGGCAACCTGAACTGATGCACATACGTACGAAGCTCTACGTTGCAACTGACTGACTGACATAGAACTTCGTAAGTATGTACATAAGTTCAGGGTACCATACCACATAAGCACAGAGACGCAATTGTCATTTCAAATCCCATAGTAATAGAGATAGTAGAAGTATTACCAGTAATGGAGAAGATTAGGGTTTGAAGATATTCAAGAAGTATTATTCAGTAAAAAAACGATAGAGATGATGAGGAATCCAGAAGATTAGAATTTGAGAGAACATAAAGAGTGGATGCACCTGCGCAATTGCAAACGATTTTGAGCCATGTCGTTCAAGGTCTCTAACCATCGGTTACTATCGTCTCGCAGACCCTAACCAGGTAATATACACTTACCAACATGACTCAATCCAGATGTCAGTTCTAGTTGTTAAGTCTAATTCTAGTCACTAAAAGAATTTATGATATACTTTACAATAATATATATCTTCGTCTAATTTAATTTTGTTCATCTATGCTTAATATTAAGTTTCTGTATTAGATTTCAATTTCTCCACTATCATATTGAGATTAAACAAAAATTTTTATGTTTGCATTAGGTGGATAGAATAAGTCGGGTGTTATGTTGGTCAGCATGAAAAAGCAGGAAGATGTGACATCATACTAGCTGAGGCATTGAAGGCAGATAGCAAGAACTGTAAAGATGTTACACCCCCTCCCCGCAAAAATTTGGGAGGAAGAACAAGTACTGACAGAGTATAAAGAAGGACACTTCGTAAAGTATCAAGGAAAGGCGATCTCAGAAAATGTGATAACTGTTGAAGCATCACTCCACTCTCAATACCAGGAAATGACTTCAACAGGGTATTGTTGGACGAAATGAAAGATCCCGTGGACGCCCAACTTCGAGGTCTGTAGGCTGAATTCTGTCAGGATCGATTCCGTAATGACCAAACCGCGACACTGCGAATCATTGTGGAACAATCGATTGATTGGAACGCATCAGTCAGCATCAACTTTGTTGACTACAAGAAAGCATTCGACAGCGTAGACAGGATGGCACTGTGGAGAACTTTTTCAACACTACGGCGTACCACGGATTAAACTAAAAGGCGTACATTGAGGACAGTTCACAGACACAATAAGAGTCAAGAACAGTATCAGACAATGTTGATTACACTCACACTTTCTGTTTCTCTTGATGGTCGACAGGATTATGAAAACGTCCACAGTTCAGAGGAAGCACAGAATAAACCGGACAACTCAGATGCAGCTGAACGATCTGGACTTCGTAAATGACTTGGCTCTGCTATCCCACACAATAACAAATGCAGGTGAAGACGATGAGTGTAGCAGCAGCCTTTGTAGCAGTAGGCCTCAACATACAAAAGGAAAAAGTACAACACAATATGCACCTGCCGAACCACACTTGATGGAGAAGCTCTGCAAGATGTGAAAACCTTTACATACCTGAGCAGCAATATTGATAGACAGGGTGAAACTAATGCCGATGGGAAGACAAATTAGTAAAGAAATGGCAGTATTTCAAGAAGGATATCTGAAACCCAAAACAACTTTCAACCAACACCAAAGTCGCAATTTTCAATACAAACATCAAAACTGTTCTACTGTTTGGAACGGAAACTTTGAGAACCACAAAAGACATAATCCAAAAGATAGTGTTTCAAACAGTTGTCTACTCAAGATATTGAGGATCCGTTGGCCATGCATCATCAACAACAACCTACTGTGAACGAGAATGAACAAGAGTTGAGCGGGCGAAGAAATTAGGAAAAAGCCCTTCAGGCAGATCGGAGACACATTGCGGAAAGCATCCGGCTGCGTTACATGGCAGGCTCTAACTTGAGAGACCGACCAAGGAAGGGATTGGAGACAGACATAAAAGGGATAAACAGCGATTGGTGTGGACTGGAAAAGAAGGTGTAGGACAGAGTTAGTTGAAAATTATTGGTTGGCGGCCTATGTTCCATTAAAGGTAACAGGTGTAAGTAAGCAAGTTAAGCATATTCAAAAATCGATTTATTCAAACTCCACTGAAATTAAATCATTTCATAAATAGTGACATTAATATACATGTGAAACGTGAGTCTTTGGTTTCGGTTTAGTCTGAAGTAGTTCTAAACAAAAACTCTAGAGATTCCTGACATTTACCACACATTTTTAGTATAAACAAACTTACAGTAGTATTTCTAAATAAAAGTCCCATTTCGCTAACTACAATTTCCTTCATTACTGTTTAGAATTACAATATATCCTAGCAATCATCACATCAAGAATTATGTTGTCAATCACAATTAAGCTTATAACATTCTTTTCTACAAATACACAACTTATCATACTCCACATCTAATTACCGATCTTTATTGAAGTAATCTTTGATTTCATGCATGAAATTTATTAGTAAAATGTTCCATAGTATACTTCAGTAATTAACAAATGAACGTTTCCAAAAGCAGTAAGTGGTTTTTCTGAATTCTAGTTCAATAATATTTTGATCAATGATTGTCGACTGACATTTTTTATTAATGGTGTTCAAATAGCTGTATTTTCGAGAAAGATTATATATATATATATATATATATATATATATATATATATATATATATACTAAGGAAATTGTGGGATTGTATATATGTTAGTAGGACATGGCATTAAAGCATGCGCAATACAGGATTATTTTGTGGCACGCTAACTAGGGCATTCTTAGCCAATTAGCACTAGCGGATAGCTGGAGGTCTTAGAATATTTTTGTGTAAAAATTATTAATAAGCTACCATTTATATTACTACGATTCTTTCGCATTCAACCCGGTTTGTCTCAATATAACTAACGACCTGTTCAAGCCGTGTTCTAATTTTGAGGACTAGCTGAGTAGTTACATAGTATTGAACTTTACTAAGGAATAAGATTGCTGGGTCGTATAAGTAAGACCAATAATGTCGAGAACTGAGAAAAAGGAGAAAACATTCAAGATACCTGTATCAGATGAACAGCTTGACCGGATTCTACAATAAGTGCAAGTACAACTTGTTGCCTAAATGCGATTGTTAGCTCTCATCCAGCAGCTAAACATTTATTGCTCGAGTTCACAAACTATGTCCTCTACTTGTTGTGAAGAAGTTACTGACAATATCCCGGAATTCTGTTATGGTCCTGAAAGTGGAGATACATTCTCCATGTGCTCCAAACATTGGGAAGATACGTTCAGAGTGGAACTCTTCAGACAAGATGGAAAAGCAATTCAACTAACATCACGGGGTACAAAAGCATTTATTCACCGTGAGTCAAAAAGTATCTGAGAGCAAGTGAGATAACTAGCAACAAGAGTTGAGGTAGAATAACTATCGATATTCTACTAGACGCCTTTGAGATCAAGTCCCCAGAAACTGTAACGCCAATCTTTGAGCGAAAAAACAATGATGCCACATCCTACTTCTCAAAAGATGGATAGACTGAAGGTAAAGACCAGTCACAAGGGTGCAAGTGAACCCTAAAACCAGACCCTATGAATTTGCTCAAAGATGTGTTAGTACGACAAAGATGGGATTAAAATAAGTCCAACACAGAATGATTTTGAAAAACGCTGATTGGCACACTCTTATCCAAGACAGCTGAGTTGAATAAACCAGATCATTAACAATACAATTTCTGGGTTACTCCCGGTTCCATAACCATATAAAGAAGAAACGACAAACATGATGTTAAGAACTCCGTCCTGTGAAAAAGGACCAGGACAAACCCATTCGCAGGAGTTTAAATCTCTTCACATAGAAGAATTATGATCCCTCGAGGTAAAAGCCGAGATTCTTTGGAAGATGAGATTGGAGATTTCTGCTCAGCGGCATATACCTCCATTTGAGGTAACAGACTTAAGCAAGTAAGTAAACAGTCATATATATATATATATATATATATATATATATATATATATATATAAACTAATCATCCGAATAAATCGAAAGAATTATTGACCAACGAAATAAAAAAATTACAAAGTGTGAAATCTGCTAAATAGTCAGTTCAATAACGACATCTTTCTTACCTAACCGATTTGATGGAGTCCTCTTGAAAAGAGCGCGTAATAAACTTTGAGCTGACGGACTAAGAAATTGTGGCATTGATAATTTTGCTCTAAATAACAACAAAACATTAAAGTCAGATTAAAATCAAATGTTTAATTTACAATTGATTTATCAAGTTATTTCATAAGTTTGTTTTTCACAACAAAATTGTCTTATGACAAAGCTGTGTGTTCCCAATTGTTTTATGATAGTTTATAAAAAAAAAATAAATTCAATTTCAGGTAAATTAGTGCAAATGCTTTTTAAGAATTTTCTGTTTTAGTCAGTCAAAAAACACAGATTTCAATACTACATCCATAGTATAAACTGAATCAACTTATGTTTGCTGGTTTAGTGAAACATTTCAATCTAATCCATGTCCAATTAGAAACTAGCGTGGACTAAGCTCAGAATACTACATTTGAAATATTCTCCAGTTAATTCATTTGTTTTGGTTGTTTGAATGTTCTTATTGATGTGTAGGACTTTAGTTGATCAGTCTCTTTGGCATATATGTATTTTGTAAGCAGTGTCTTGACATTACCTTTAAGATACAAGCGAATTAGTAACAAAGGTGAATAGTGGCTAGCTGTGGTATGTCACTGCTTTGCCAATAATACTTCAGTTTGATGAAAATTAAATCATGCATGATAAAAACTAATCACTGTTTATTTGAGAAAGTCGTTCAGTTAAATCAAGTCAAATACACAAAATTCTAAACTTCTAGGCTTTTCTAAAATTATTTCAATAGTTTTATAGTTCAAAAGTAAGCAATCAAGTGGGAAATTCCAAAATACATTTTAATAACGTCATTGATATGCGACATAGTAATCTAGTTTTCCGAGTTTCTGAAGCTTACTTCTTTTTTTCAATAGCCTAGATTAAAACGTCTAAAAATCTTAATTTGATTTCCAATAATCAAAAGATACAACAGACAGTGTGACAAGTTGAATCATTTTGGTTAAAAACCATTTGATGGTAATATTTGGCAAAAACATTCTACGTACTGCACACATTCAACAAATATATCTCATCAAAATTGGATTAATAAAAACTGACACAGAGCAAGTCACAAAGGATCAAAAGATATGATGCTCTCTTAGGATATGATCTAGAAAACTTTATGTACAAACAACTATTCACAACATTTTTTTGTATCCTATACCAAATAACACTGCACGAAATAATTTAATGCATAAAATCAACTATATTCACATATTCTATACAATGAACAATATACAAGAAAATGAATAACTAAAAGTAAGTCAATTAAGTCAGTTTTAATTCCATTTAATTGATTAATAAATAACCTGTAGAATTTTTTTATTATGGTTTTTTTTCTATAAACTACTTCTATTTACTTTTTTAAATAGTTTTTAAGATGTTTTTTATGTTTAATCTGTTCAATACAACCATTTTTAAGTCATAAAATATAAGTTAGGAATGTAAAAAACCAAGTTATATGAAAGTATATGAATTATTGTTTTATCAAAAGTTTTAAGGTGGACAATGTTTGTTATAGGTGCATTGAAAATGACTTGATATTCTACTGGAAAGTAAGAATTTAATGATTATTAGATAATAATATTAACAATTACTGATCAATGCATAATGTGATATGACTTAAATGATAAATGGAACATTTGTTTATAAGTAGAAAATAAGATGTATTTGTTGATTAACTGTTAAAGGAATTACTTTAAGCTTGAATAACACTTTTCAATGAGAAGAGTAGTGTGTTTGACATAATGAATCATAATGAAGCTAGTACTTTCCCTGTACAGTAAGAAAATTGTTCTGGAAGCAAAAAGTAAGGTTTTTTTCGGTGTGCTTATCAAACGATGTACTTGATAAGACAATGCAACAATATTTTGAAGATAGAAGAGAGGAATGACAGGTGTGATTATAAAGTGAATAGTTAAATGGAAATATCCAGAAGATTACAGCTTTTGTTTCGATTCAACTAACGGCTTATATAAAATAAATATTAAGAAAAAGAATCTATTTTGAGGTAACTGGTTAATTCTGATTGTAAAATCCATTGTTAATTAGTAGTTTGAGTAATACTTCTATCTTAGGAATCAGAAAGCAAGACAGATACTAACGGTATATATTCGTTCTTGTGTACAATGGACTGTTTCATAAACTGACGATCTTTTCAGATGCTATGGTAAATTTTACCTTCCATAAGGGATGTCAAACTAAAAACCACTTTCATGGCAGCAATCAGTATAGAAGAACAACAACACAGGCTAAATAATATAGAGCTGGCAACTTAGTTCTCACATATTTGGAGTAGAACGGTATTTTACACTTTTTCTTTAAAACTCATCAATACTTTGTGATGTTTGGTGCAATCTGTTTAGATTTATCGTTTAATTATTCAGTGGTATAATTATTCTACTCTGTTATATTTGGTTTTTAATAATTCAATCACCGAAACGCTACTGTTTATCTTATAAAAAAAGCTGCATTTGACAGTGTTGCACATACTACGATTATACACGTTTTTAGTTAAATTCCCACGAGCCATATGTGTTAAACTATAGATTAAAACAGTCAGTTAACTGCGCACAACGTCGAACTGGACACATGTGTGCATCGATTCAAGTTGTCATACCACATTAGCACAATGAGATGGAATTTTCAAATAAATCCAAAAGTTGTAGAAGTAGTAACGATATCTGGTATTAATAGTAGTAGAAACCATTAAGCATTTTCGAAAAAAGAACTATGACGACATCATTAGATACTTTATTCACATTTCAGTACTTCATACCATTTACTAAACAAATAAGGAATGCTTTGACAAAACAAAACAATTTGTATCAAACTCATACAAGAACAATATCTATGCTAAATTATTAGTTGTAAATATGAATTTTGATGATATAATTACATATCATGTCAGATAACTATTAATGAATACATATGGTCAGTTTTCGTAGTCGAAAAATAGAGTAAACTGATCAGTAGTTTAGTAGTAATTATAACCATATAATCTACTGATAGAACCTTAAACGTATTTGAACAATTCTGACATTTTGAGTCAAGGATATCCATTTATTGTCATTCCCTTTCTCAGATTGTTAACCACTTTTTTAAATGACTGATATTCTATCAGTTAAATTGGTGTCATTTCGCTCATTTGCGGTAAAGAAATATAATTAAGGGCTCTCTTAAGTTCAGTTCTGATTTACTCTAGTCTTTAATTTGACCAGACACTCTAATTTAAAGGAGCTATGGTCAGAGGGTATACTGTTAGGTGGTTGAATGTAGTTGGTAGGATATCTCTAGTAGGAGGTCAGTCACTGCACGGATACAATAGTGATAACGTCTCAGATTGTTGATCATGAAGCTACAACCTGAGACACACGTGCGCTGAACCTAGTTGTAACTCCAATATAAAAAATACTTTACAATAATTTGCATAAATTCACAAATATTTATACGTAGGGAAGTAAGTTTTTTAATTAAGAATAACTAACTCAACGCTCATTTGCAAACACATGTAACTGGTTATTATTTGGCGAGTTTAACGTTTTACCTTTCGAAAGAAATAGATTTTCAAATATTCAAAAACGTTGTGAGTGGTACTTGAATCTATTTAATATCAGCTATCTATAAAAGATCGATAAATTCATTTATTTCTAGTGGAAATTGGTTAATTTAGCTTTGACTTAATAACTTTTGTCTTTTTTTTATACGATGACTTTTTCTCCTGTTCTTTTTTCCCAAATACCTTGTGTCAGTCATTCTTGGTTCCGATTATCTGCTATTAATATCAATGATCATTATATTCCGTATGTGTTGTGGCACTTGAATTATCTCCTCATATGAGATTTTGTTCAGAGTTTTGAAGTTATTCTTCTAAAATTGGAGATAACATAAATTATCATATAATTTATATCTATTTTTGTAAACAATGCCGATTCAAATATAATAGCTTATATGTCATGCAATATTTTTTCATACACTATAAATCAGCTACATGTTCGGTCTATTCAAAAAAAATATTAATAAACAATACAGTGAGACAAAAAATGCATATATGAATTGGCAAATGCACTCCATAATGATTCTAATTATTCCCAACTAATTCACTCAAAGAGAAAGCCTTTAAATAGTCATATATAAAAAGTGACTAAATAATCAAACCGTTATGTACTGAAAGAAAATAACATGTTAAACTACATTTCCATTAAATATATCTTATGTGATAGACTCATCAACAATGTTTTTAAAACATTAAAATATCATGTTAGCTTTTAAATAGTTTACAAGTGTATTTAAAAAGACATAAAGTAACGAACGAAACGGTAAATATTTAAGCAGTATTATTTCATATCAATTCATTAGTGATACACATTGAAGTTTTAGCAGCTGATTGTCTATTTTCAAAATGAACAGATTATGATTTTTAGTTCTCTTGATTCATAAATAAAAAAAAATACTTTCAAAAATTATAGACAAAATCACTTTGTGATTTATTTATTAAATATCTTTTTTTTTCAGATAACAAAGTCACATTAATAATTAACTATTTCAGACATTTAAAATGTATGCAGAGAATGAAATCTCAAAACACATATTGAAACTGTGACACAGATGATCATACGTAATTGGAACATTACATTAAATTTGTTGTCAATATTATAACAATTACAAGTTTGCGATACATAAATAATTCAGTTTCTGTTCTGTATTACACTAACTAATTCTAAGCACCGGATAACATGACTGTGTACGATCAGATGAAATATTGCAATCACCTTACTGGTTACATCAATAGATTAAAATCAAGGATACATTAATATGATTGTATACTTATTATCACTCAACAAATTTCTATTAATTCATCATTAAAAGGAATAATTTTACTGTTTTCATATGACATACAAACTAGTTCTACTTGGGTCATATATTGCACATACTTGTTTTGTATGTATGTAATATTTCGCATTAGAACTTAGACTGATCAACTTTTAAACATGAAATTTAGAAACAGTAATCAAATTTTCAGGTTGACAATATAATTTTAATGTTATTCTTTAAGGTTTTGATAAAGAAAATGCTAATACTGATTGACGAGGATTCCTCGTACAATAGCTGTTTCCTAAAAAATATCACAGTATTCGGATTTATAATCCATATATATATATATATATATATATATATATATATATATATATATATATATATATATATATGTAAATGATTATGCTAAGTCAAGATGGGAAATAAATATGTAATAACAATCATATGTCTACAGATGAACATGATATGAAATTTATGGTCAAGTAATTTGAAAAGATTATTTTCCGTGTCATTTAGCTCCGCTAATTTAATCATTCAAAGGAAACAAAAAATTCATTTCATTAAAATAATTCAAGGTTTTTATAAGTGACTGTTAACATGCAAAAATGTTAACATGTAAAAATATAGTGTTCGTTGTCATGTTTCCATATTAGTGGTGATAACTGTAAAGATTTTAAGACTGAATGCCTCCTTTTCAAAACAAATTCTCAGTTAAAATCGTAAATAACAATATATATGTGTGGTTATCCTTGTTTATTGATAGTCAATAAATTACTTTCATTACCACCGAACATAGAATTTTTATTGAAAATAAAATACTACTGGTTTACTTACTTTAAAATCATCTGCATTGTATCTTTTCTATTCTCACTATGGAAAGGCAGAATACCGGTAAGTAATTCATACATAAGTACCCCGAAACTCCACCAGTCAGCAGCTGTCCCATGTCCATGTCTACTTACAACTTCTGGAGCCATATATTCCACTGTTCCACAAAATGAATATGTTCGATCACCAGATGATTCAAAAACCGACTCTTTTGATAGGCCGAAATCAGTTAGACGTACATGACCATCTTCGTTCAGCAAAACACTTTTAATTTATTCAAAAGATAGCACGAAATAATATTTATAGTTCATGAAACAATATGAAGTCACCAAGAGAACTGTCGTTAACAGAGCTGAATTAATCGCAAAAAATTTAGGCGGTATTTGTTATGCTTCATCACCATAAAAACTTAAAAGATTTAAAATATACATTAGAACTTCTGAAAGTTATCATTCCATTAGAGCAGTACTTAAACTAAACCAAAAATAAAGAATTATAAGTTATTTCCCAAAAGTAAACCATTAGGATGACTTTAGTGAAATATTAAGTGAAGTACACTATAGTTTACAGTGTTAAAAGCAAACAAATCGGAACATTCGTTCGTATTCATTACATACAATTCAGTACGAACATAATATCTCGGTAAAAAAATATCCACATAACTTGATAACTGTTTATTAAAAAACAAATAATGATTTTGTTGAGATCGAAAACCAACAGTCAGATAACTACTGTAATCCGGACAGGAACTGCAGAGCTATTATGTCTTAATCTGGAATTCTCTGGAAATGTGTACCAACGATCCTATCAAGAATCGAATCAAGGAGCTTACGTTTTGTGTCTCGGGAGTCCCATACTAGAATGATACAATTGTTCGGGGCCTCCTGGTTTATAATGATCGTCTAACTTGGGTTGGTTATTGATCTCAATAACGTCTAACGACTTCTGCTAGCCTATGTACTGACAATAAACAATATGTATCATATGTAATTGGTTGTGACATTTTTATGCTACAAATAATACCAGATAAATATTTGATTTTTTAAAATGATGCTTTTATCTGTTTTGACATGATAGTCAGATAATATATACATTTCCGATTGTTAGAAAAATAAAAATCAGTACAACCAGTAAAAATGATTTGGAATCACTAGCCAAAGATCTTACAGAGTCTACCGATATTTTTGTAAATGGTCAACTATGATTAGCTCCATCCTCGCATTACTTAATACAGTTCTTTTCAAGAGATAAATCCAAGGTCAACGACTCACATTTCATATCTGTTTCCCAATTTGTTTGTAAATTACACACTTTACTGGTGAATACATACTTTTGAAAATTCTTAAGAATAGTTGAAGGGGAGAAAACCTAAAGATTCTGATTAATTAGTTCTCTTTATGTCTCGACCTAATTTTAAGCTTGTTCATTCGGTGATCGAACAGTTTGCTAATGAATGTCCCAAGTGAACACCGTATCTGATTCACTCAGAAAATAAAACCAGAAATGTGAAAATAGCGCGTATCTGTAAAAGTTACCAATCTCCATCAGTACAACAAAATGAGACTGTTAAGATTCATATTAAAGCAGTTCAATTACAAATAGTACCAACGATACCGAAAACAATTTGAAACGTTTACTGATCTAATTTTTCGTGACTCTTTTGTTTCGATTTACATACATTACTATTAAGCTTAATAGCTGATTAGTATCTGAATTTTTCGGGCCTAAATTATGCATATTAAAAATAATTGGCTACATTTACCAAAAATAATCTCTTCAATGAACAACATAAACCTGAATAAATACAGGAGTTAATTGATTAATTTTCCTGGTCTCCTAAAATCAAGTAAATGATTTAGTAAGGATACAAATGTCTCAAAAGGACATGTAAACAAGAAAAACAAGCGGAGAAATAATTAAACGTTAAATGTTGGAGATATTAAAATTCTATTTAACAATCTAAAATAAATAATTTAAGACTTAAAACAGGTTCGATAGAAAGGTTGTATCGATGACAAATATTAGCTCATAGATCTAATTTTTGTTTAAACACAAACAAAGTTACAAATAGATACTTAAATATTTATGCGCCAAACACATCAATCAATTTAAATGTGAGTTAGGACACTGTCCGAGTGCCTAGACCGAGACAGATATTTTTCTTAGGGTGATTACTGAACGATTCTTTGACCTGCTGGTCTAATTCACAAAGCAGTGGAGCGACGTTAGGAGGCGCAGTTTCGTCGTATCCGTTGACCGACAATAGGTTTAAACGTCATTTGTTACCCCAGGACCCTGAAGCCTACATACATCACTGGTTTGGAATTCGAGTTTTTAAACTTTGTATTCGCCGATCTGGTTATAGCATCGGACATCCGCTTTTTATCCTCACTATTTCGTAAACCCACGCTGCAAGAAGGCTGTGAGTAGGAACTCCCTGATAGTGGCTGTACACCCGTGGCGGTATGGGAGCATTTCGAAAGAGTAGACTGTCTCTACTTCCGACCCCATCAATATATTTGGGCAACATCAGTAGAAACATTCTATCATTGACAATACAATGAACGTAAAAATGGTAGAAAACCTGCAGGCCAAGTATATTTTATTAGCTTGAAGGTTTGACCTAATACTGAACATAAAATATAATAGCTATTTAGTTTCATAAATGTCAGTCATGGACGCACTGTGGGTAAACATGCTTAAATTCTTACAACTCACACTTGAAGTCACCTTTTTCCTTTTGTACGTTTTGATTTTAAGCGCATTTTTGGCAGACTGTGATGCAATCAATTCATACAATGTAACCTTAAGTTCTACCCACATTTTCAAAACTTTCAACGAAAAGCATTATCGCTTAAGTTTATATGGAGCACATTTACGTCTAAAACTGTCGAAATACTTTGTGAGTACCAGGGCTATAATCAGTGAAATATATTTTTGACAAGACGACATCAACTTACATTAGAAACTTGTTAAAAAACTCACTTTTCAGGTTTCAAGTCTCTATAGACTATTCCGTGGCTGTGCAAATAGCTAAGAGCCAATGCGATTTCAGCCAAATAGAATTTTACATCTTCTTCTGTAAACATATACTTAATGGTAATGCAGAATAAGGGAAAGTGAAAGTTACCTCTTTGGACAAACGGGAGAAAAGATCCCCTCCCCTAAGAAACTCCAGAATGAGATAAACCTTTCCCTCGGTTTGGAAAGCTAAGATAATCGGATAAAACTGACGAACATACCGTAATGCAAATCAACTATATACGGATGCTTAATTCTAGTTAAAATATCTCTTTCAAGCTTTGTTCTCAGTCTATCACGAACTGTGAGTTCAGTCAAAATATTAGCACTTCAAACCTTTCAAAACAGCCTTTTTCAAAACTTTCATTGCGTACAGAGTTCCTTTATCATTTCCATTATTTTTCCTGACTAGAAATACCTAAACTTGATGTAAAACTACTGATAACAACAAAAACCTTTCCGAAAGATCCTTGACCGATAACATAAAGCAAATCGAAACATGAAGGATCGACCTTTTCTGTTTTATGTGCTAAGTTCTCAATATTCACTTCAACCTCAGCAACATCGACCTAAAATAAGTTGAGGATTTACAGAAAACATACCTTTTGACAACCATCATCTGGTGCGTCGTCTATAGATATGCACTTTAACTGTCTATAATGACGGTAATTACATACACATACCTCATTAGTTACATCGCTTGCCTTAAGAAATGGTTGACCTAGATGTGCAAGCGGCATCTCATTGATTACACCTTCAAAAAGGCGCACATTTTACAATAAATGAACTTCACTATTGAACATTACAATTTTTAGTCTGAAATAAAAATTTGGCATTCAGAGACTTCGAATCTTAATCATCATCATCTTCTCGTTCATTCTTTGAAACTATAAGCTATAATCACCAGAGTACCTCCATACAATTAAATCTCGAAGTGCTACTTATCAGTGCCATTGACTTTGAATTTATTATTAATTGTCAACTTCTGCTTTTTGTTGTTTGAAGTCTCATGAACTCGGAATATGAAATAAACTAGTAAAGGCGCTGAGAATCACTGAATATATATTGCAAACTTAACTACGCTAATAATTTTGTACTATATAATTCACAATCTGAAAACCCTCAAATCGAACTAGCAGGGCTAGCTTAAAACTTGCCTTCCATTTTCAACCTTCTTTCCTAAACTTTACATGATAAGTTTTTTCAGGCAATTATCGAACAAGGTAACATGAATACACATAAATGAAACCATGTTGGTTGAGCTGTTGTGAAAGATGTTCAGCTATAGCTAAAAAGATGTAGTTAATGCCGCGGTTTCAGCTGTTATCTGCATCCTAACGGATTCACTATAGTTTATATGCACCAATCATCATTTTACTTTTGGATATGATCAAATATTATTCTGAAGTCCTATTTATTTCATTCGAAAGGAAACTATAGGTTTAGAAATCGTGCGACGGTAAATAATCTGTCTTAAGGTCTAATAATTAACTTCAACACCATTAATTTTTAGTTTCAGATGATTATGACAAGCCATTAATCCGCGAAAAAATGTGAGATTTCGACCATTCTTGTACTGGCTATTTCCACCACACATTTTTAACTGTAATATACGGTCCCACCAATGATATAATTTTGTCGGTTAATTTTCCTACTATTACTACAAATCCGCTCAATAACAAGTAGAAGCAGAAACATAAGACACTAGGGTTGGTGTTTACTATCAGGGATTGATGGAATTCACAGGGCCGTAGAGAGTCAGGCCTATCAGCGTGTCTGAGTAATGTATATCTGTGTATTTTATGAGCGTTAATCAAGATGAGTACAAAGTTATTGATTGTCCATGTTCATAACTTCTAGTGACTTCATTTTACGAAGAAAACACAAATGGTTGACTAGCAACATTACTGTACCCAACTGTACCAGTGAATGTTTGGACGAAAATGTGGTTTATTTGTACTTTCGTATTACACTTGGCTTCTGCGTGGTTGCCATCTTGCTTTACTGCTCTGTACCTTTCGCCAACGATCTCGGTATTCTCGATACTATGAAATCGCCAGGTAATAAAGTTATTTCGTGTGGATAATCCCAGTCTCGTTTCTTATTAGTTCACAACGGGATAACACTTGAGACCTGAAATTAATTTGTTTGTAGTCACTCGACTCGATCATCGACAAACTAATGAGGGAACAAGGCGCAGAACTGAGATACAGACATGTTCTCAATTAAAATAAAACAAATTTTTACACAATGACTTAAACAAAATCATCATAAGGTTCTTTTACACAGAACGAGTAAATTGAGAAACCTTTTTACTCACCAAAGCAAGAATAATCTAGTCAAATGTTTGAATGTTCTATTAGCTAACTGTTTGTTTAATTCGTGTTCGTTTATTCTTGAGAAGTCATACTATCAGCCAGACAAGATAATAGTTTCAGCAAGCTAATTCCAAAGCAACCCTTTTAAAATGAACTATAAACTTTTATACTGAGTAAAACAAATGAAAAGATTGTAAGTTATGATTTTCCAAGACTGTTAGTAGCTCTGTGAATCAGAAAAACTGTCGGTGCTCAGAATTTCAATTCATTTAGAGGGCTGTGGAGGATAAATGATGCTACAAAACTTCCAGCTCCTCTTCGAAGCCATGGCCTGACCATAGGTTTCCCCGTTAGGTCATTCACAGGTCCATAGTACTCGACACCCAAACTACATTCGACTCTCTAAGTGCAGCTTGTCATTATACTTGCTTGCAGACAAACGCTTCGGGGAACTTTGTGATGATATAGCGGTTCAATCATTTTATCACTATGATCATATCAGGAAATTTCTATATTTCTAGCACCCGACTAACCAAAGTAACAGAATCACGTTAGTAATTTTTAACAGGAATGGCACCAAATACTTGATTGGAAGGATTTACGAGCCCTCCTCAAATACTAAGGCCTAGAAAGATAAACTGACAGAGGCAATACTGCGATTTCCACTCATTGATCAAACACCCTACGCTGGATTTCAACACTCCATATCTTAATCTCAACAAACAGGAAACAACTCCCACTAGTTCGTTCTAAAAATGACTTGACGCAATCATTAAAAGTTTTGGGCTAGCTGACCATGTATACAAGGCCACTTGAAGGGCTAAGGATGAAAATCCACAAACTCGGATGTGCTAACAAATGATCAGCTCATCGTCGACGATTATCGCTCACATACATCAATAGAATAGTGACCATGACACTGTTATGTTGCACATGGTCTTTAACAAACCACTCAGGCAGGACGAAAACGAGTCCTAAATGTGCCACGCCAGGGCATATTACACATGCAAGGAATCGAATCTTCTATATTCCCGAAGGCAACAGGAATGGAGCAGGCTAACATAAGTTGATCACTAGCAAACAATAGGCGACATCATCCAGAATACTGTCCTAAACAATGTAACTCAGGCACATAACACACCTAGAAAGAGAAAAACTTAGGTTAAGCGAAGTACTAAACGCTTGCTATTGGCGAAAGGGAGAGCCTGATACGACTGGAAGGTTTTGCTGAAGGATTCCGACCATAGTTCCTACCTGACATTTAGAAACAGGTGCAACGCCAAGTTTCAAAGTGATAGAGGACACGTTCAGATGAAACTGGCTGCGAAAATACAGGTAAAGCTTAAGCATATGCTTGGGTTCATGACAAAAATAAAACCTAGAAACGAGGGTGTTCGTGCTCTGAAAGGTCCAAAATGGCGAAGATCTTACCAAAGTATAAATGGTTGAGCTCTTCAAAACCAACTTCAATCAATTAAACCAAGTATCTACATATTCAAAGTACTGCTCAATCCTGGTACCACTTGATAACCTTGGGGATATTCGACTTACTCCTGACCTAGTAATCAGAAAATTAAAATCCCCAAGTCTGGGAAAGTCATCAGAACGTGACAATATCCACTCTATTATCTTGAAAGAATGCGCCAATACCCTCAGTTCATTGATATGTGACTTGTTTATGCATTCACTGAAGTAACACCAGCTTACATACGGATGGAAAAAAGCTGTTCTTTTTCCATTCTACGTAGGAGTAGATGGGAAGGACCTAGTCCGTTACGGATCAGTTGCACTACTACCAATACTGTCGAAAGTAATGTAAGGGCTAAAAAATGAGCAAATGGACTATTAGATCGATTGAAGCTCAATGCAAATTTCAGAAATGTAGGATATGCGCATCCGAACCTCTCATATCATGGAACATGCAGAAGACGTGGTGGGCCAGAAAAGTAATGGCAGAAGCCCTCGATAAAGTACCTCGCGCACTCCTAATTGCAAAGGTTGTTGCAATGAGCTTTTCTACCAACTCTTATCTTGCCCAAAAAACTATCTTGAGAACAGGTTTCAGACCAAGATTAACAGAGTGCACGCGGGTTGGCGATTCTCACAGGTGGCCAAATTAGTTCCACTCCACTTCTTGATATTCATTAACAATATCCTAGGCAAAATTAGGTCGGCGGTACTGATCAAGGTAGATGGTAGAAAGATCTGGTGGTCCATAAGAAGTGAAGAGGGTAAAATTGGACCAGACGAAATGTCACGTTATGTACATTCTGCCCCACAAGAAGCAAACGACTTACATTCTCGACGGAAGTCCGCCCCCTAATATCTCCTCAAAGCATGATCTCCGTGAATAGGAGACCCAGCCAAGACAAATGCAACTCTTCAGCTTATGCGAGGATAAACTGATGCTATCAACCCACAATTATTCTTAACGTTATTTAAGACATACGCGCGCCCACACCTGGAGATTCTCAACCTCATCGCACCTCCTCTGCTAAAAAAGAGACATAAATCTCTTGGACCGAGTGCAGAGATGGGCAACGAAATGGGCAATAGGATTGAGGAACAAACCTTACGAAGATGGACTCAAGCACTTGGGATTGTTTCTCCTGGGTTACAACGGAATCAGAGGTGATTTGATTATGACGTACAACTCATTAAGCACACCAAACCACTCCAGTGAGGGCCCCTCACCAAATCATGATCACAACAACAATCGAGGTTATCAGTGAAAAATTTCGAATCAAATAACGAACACCCATGTTCGATCACAACTTTTCTCATTGCGAGTCGCTGCAACTTGGAATACCCTACAAGCCGAGATGACTACAGCTCCCTCAGTGGATAGCTTTAAGAAGAGACTTGATAAACACGTACTCACATATGGATTATTATCTTCCTGATGGACCAGCTGTGTTTGACGCATTTCTTGAGACCTGCTAGTTACCATTGCTATCTCCTCAGATCACTGGATTGTTCTACATCACTTATTATCTCTACTTCCTTTCTCTCGCTTCCACATCTGTCCTCTTTCACAGTCGTCACTGCCAATTATCAAACTAAATTATCTATTTATTTACTGAGTTATGAAATCTTCTTGTCATTAGCATTAAAATTTTCTCCTTATTACCCTTCACTTCGAAAATACTCTGGTGGTACGAGCAAACCGCTATGCCTAAAATTCCTGGATTTATTTAAAGTACAGTAGAATGCAAGCAAGAACTACTGATCTGAGAAAATATCCCAATCAGATTGTCATGATCGGCCTACGAAACAGTTCCCCGATTCTAAACACCCTTTACAAATAGTTCCAACCCACATTTTCATTGTCCTGATGTTGAGTCACTTTTATGAGGCTGGTATTATTTAGAAGAGCGCAAATTGTCATTTTGTGGTTGCAGTTTTCAAACTGCATTACAACCAGTACTAAGAAGGGAATAATATGCAGACGGAAAAAGAGGTTGAGGACGCTATTACATCTTGAACCAATCTCGACCAACTATGACCGAGAGTGAAAATCTGGTATTACTAAGAAATCTTCTTCTTATCTCTGATTATTTGAATAATATTTTGAAGCTTCAAAAAAGTCACCATGGATTACTACAGCACAAAGAATCATTGTGTTTAAGAAAAATTGATAATTTCACGCCAATCTGGGAAATAGGTTAGGAAACAAGATCTTTGGAGCTGAGGTGCGAATGCTAAATATTCTAAGAGACATTCGCGTGCACAGTGTAAGAGGATTTGATAGTTATCTTCAGATACTGCGCGAAGTAACTTCAAGAATAAATGTAGGATAGACTGCTATCTTGTGGTCATCCCGGTATTACCTTTAATTTGCTTATAGTCGAGTTACGGGAAGCATCTTGTTCAAAGGCTACATATGGTTTATTCTAATGGCTTAGTAGATGGTCAGAAGGAACTACGTACTATTTAAAGGTTGCTGCCCTTAAACTCCGTTACGACAAATGAGCTCAGATAGGTTGTCTGCATATCCCTTTTATTTTAACAAAGCCCTGGAATTATTTTGGCACTGGTCGTGAACCCAGACTATCTTTGAAGTGCTTTGGTCAAATTTGAAATTATAAACAATCTTCGAGCAACTAGACTTCAAGGACGGAGCGTTTCAGCTTGCACTTACAGTGCTCAGTGGGAGAATGTAATAGTAACATTCAAAAGACCATCTGACATACATCGACTATCGAAGGTTAAGTTATGGTTTTGTGATGTCTGCGTCCTATCATTTTTCTGTTAATAATCTGATTCGTTACAAAAATGGATTCTAGTGTAACCCCTCACTCATTTACAATCCTAGGAAATTTCCTCTAAAATCTGGAAATTCTTTCTTCTCAAAACTTAAGCTACAGGTAGATACTTTTGTTTCACGATTCTTTCGGTGATAGGGAAATACGAGCGTAGCTATTTTTAAGAAGTGGCAAAGTAACTGGTTTGAATGAGTTCAAAAGCAATACTCTGAAAGGGATTTTTCTATGATCATCTTTTATCTTATGAAATATGTTAGTACTCAGAATTCACTAATTATTTAAGAAAGGAAAACTCATTTCTCAATATATCAAGTTCGTTTAATGAAAAGCAGATCAAGCAACTGTAAGTTTAAATGAAGAAAATCATTTTACTTTTAAATTACAGTAGTCAGCATGCTAAAGATAATTCACTTAAATGATGGAAATTCACATCTCCTGAATATTTCCACACATTTTGAACTAGGTTTAACTGCAAGTGCCTTCATTGTTATCCTGGATAACATGACCAGCATGTTATGTAAGAATGAGCTCCATAGTTATACCACCAGCCTTAATTAAGTTTCTCATAAAGACTTTCCTTGTAACTGTCATTAATATCCCTGTTTCTGTTTATTCTTGTGTTTAAGTTAGCTCTCTTGCTATTTTGATCTTTGAACATAAGCCGATTTGACTTTTAGGAATGGATTGACAGACATGGTGCAACTAAGCGCATCTATTGTTTGCCGACTGATATGAATATCAAGATAATGAAATCTATGACAAGTGATCAAAAGGCCGTCAATACTGTTTCAGGAATTATAAAATAAATATAAAGCTTGCTTCTACATTGAGTGCTGATCATGTTGTCTAGGATGACACTTAAATCATCTAGCTCAGACAATCTAACATAACCAGAAATTATTTCTTTCACTAAGAAAGTTCAGTTCTAAATCCTTAACATAATGAATTTTAATTGTCACGTGACTACACTGGGAAAAAACATATACGTCTCGTATTATCGCAAACGAAAGACATGACAATCACAATATAGAAAAATGATGCATTTAAAGTGACTTTTCCTAACACTTCTACATTATTCTCAACTGTAAATACTTACAGTTTATTTCATTATAGACGGACAGACAGACAGATACAACGCAGAAATTCGTACGTAAGTACATCAGTTCAGGTTGTCATACCACATTAGCACAGAGACGCAACTGTCAATTGCATTATTTCACTATAATCATTTGGGTTTACATTGAAATTTGTATCGAAAGCAATGGATTGTACGATACATGATAAAATAATTCAAGACGCAGTACATTATCTATCTCGGTATTATTATCAATTTTACTGATAATAATTAATGACTAAAGTAATTTATTGGCAGAAAAAAAACTAGGATTATCATATTCAACGCTGTGTGCAGCCTTCCTTCTTATAATATGCACAACGGAATTCCAATAATTTGTAACAAACAATACAGAGAAAAGACGAAAAGAAAGTTAAACCGTTTTATTCGTTAAAAACTATTTTATTGACCACGAAATTAACTTTTTTCTCTCTCGTATTAATGCATAAAAGTAGAAAGAAAGAGAAAGATAAAATATAAGAGAGAGAGAGAGAGAAAGAAAGAGGAAAAACATCACATCACATCAAAATAGAAATTATGCAATTTTATTCTAAGACGAGAAAAACACTTAATTTCAAGAAAGTGCAACTTCATTAATAACAGCACACTGAGCAAATGTAGGTGATATACTTTGAAAACAATAATAATAATAATAACAATAATGACGACGATAAAAATTACATTTACAACCAATTCAAAGCACAGAAATATCAACTATATGAAAATATATCATAAAGGATGGGGGTGAAAATGTCTAAAAAAAACCCTGAATACATTGAAAAATGTAAAACAAGAAAATTGTGTGCATAAATGTGCTAATACAAGAAAAAAAAATCACGAAAGTAGAAACAACAAGGAAGAAGAGAAGAGTACAGAAGTGACCATGTTTGCCTTTTTTTTCTGTTTGTATGCTTTCAGATTAGGAATTTTGATAGAAAAAATTTTGCAATGCAACACTTGATTGAATGTTCGAACTGAAGATTAAATTGATGAAAAATAAAACTGATATATATATATATATATATATATATATATATATATATATATATATATATATGAAGTGGAAATAATGTCAATGAGGATATAATTTGATAATAACAATAATTATTATTAAAGATAATTATGCGAGAAAGCATGTGTGCATGATTGAGAATTATTTCCCATGTTTGAATATTACATTTAACCTCAACCTTTTTCCTCTTTTACAATTAAACAATATTGAGTATGTAAGTTTGTAGGCAAATTGAAGAGTATGATGAATACAAAGAAATCGATAAGGATAACCGTTTTTATTTGTGATAAACAATGATTGTAACTATTGAGAACACAAATTAAAATATAGACACACACATACATACATACAGTTATAGAGTAAATATATATCCTACATAAGATGCGAACAAAATGTGACCACAAACACAAGCAAGACGCTAACATCCATAACACACGCACAATGAATATAAGTAAGAGATAGAGAGAGAGTATGAGTAAATTACGACGGCCAAATAAAAGAAGCACAAAAATATGGAAATGATTTTAAGTTGATCTTTTCAAATCAGCTGTTTGTATACCGGCTAAAATACGCTGCCATAAAGCTGGACTACACTTTTGATGACGACGAATACGTGTCAATAAATTATTCCAATGTAAACCACAATCAATTGCAGGCATACTTAAGTGAACATTATATGCTTTTAAAATTAAATCAACAAATTCATCCCATTCTACTTGACTTTGTCCAATATACTGAAGTCTTTGATCAATATACTTTTGAAATCTAGATAATAAAGTGTAATGATAAAAATTAAGATAATAATGAATAAATAAATATCAATATAAGCAGTAACAACAACAACAAGAAAAAAATTATGTCCCTCTCACAATTTACACATACAATTGGAGTAAGTTCTGTTACTATTTTTTTTAACAATTTCACACAGGAAACTACTTATGATAATGCTTCAGTAAATATATGTGCGTATTGGAGTCTCTATATTTGTAGCAGTGATTTATTTAGTGATCAACTTGCACAATGGTTTCAACAAACAGGTTTCACATTTTACACTGAGCTCAACTTCCGTTTTGATAGTTGGATAAAAATCTTAATCCTAGTAAACAGTATGACAGTCCTGTAGATGTAACGAAAAATTCCCTTCACACTGAGATTTAATCTAATGTAACTTATTTTACCAAGTACAGGTAAAACGATAATCAATAAACAAACAAATCAATTAATTAATTAATTAAACGATTAAGTAATAGTAATAACTTGATTCAATACTATAAAATTTTAGTACAGTCAAAAATGATCAGAACCGACTTTGCAAATATTATAATCAATATCACTTGAATATATATATATATATATATATATATATATATATATATATAGACAGACAAATACAACGCAGAACTTCGTACATAAGTACATCAGTTCAGGTTGCCATACCACATCAGCCCTAGCTTTCTTCCAACCTGCTCCTACACCAAAAAACGTAACTTGTCGCGGCAGTCGGTGGTTAGGCATACGTAAAAAATGTCCCAACCACCTCAACTGATGAAGTTTCAATGCGTCATGTATTGATTTGCCATCCTTACCTAGAACGCGTCTCTTAACGATAGCATTGCTCACTCAGTCGTCCCAGGATACACGAGCAATGCTTCGGAGACACCTATTATGGAAGACTAGTAACCTACGAATGTCCTCTACTCTTAATATATATATATATATATATATATATATATATATATTCAAAGTGTAATTAATAAAAAATCATTTTCTGAACGTTTTTAACAGTCAATATCTGTTATTTTCTATTCAACCATTTTATTAAACAGTTTAGATGTTACAATGATTCCACTTTTTTGTGTGTGTGAATAATCTGATATATAGTATTTCATCTCGTTTTTGAAAATTTTCAGTGTTGTTTTTTTTTTAAAATTTTTTTTAATCCTTAGAATGTCAGAAATGAATAGGAAAAACAATTTTACTTCAAATAAAAAAAGTTAATGAAGATGTGTATACAGCGTTAAAGATGCGGCATTTCTTGTGGTGAAGTGAATTACCAGGCTGCGGCAAATGTTATAAGGTTATATATATTAAAAATGAATCAAGAGTTGAAAAGAAAAAAACAAACAGGAAAAACATCAAATCGGAAAATCAATGAGGGGATTCTCAACTTTGTTGAAGAATTCATAGAATTAAACTCATTAATAATAATGGTACAAATTTGAGGAAAAAAATTGGAAAACATGTTTTCTATAAACCTATCCCTTGAATCTATCTATATATAAGAAGAATAATTTATAGACTTCAAATTATACTTTAAAAAAGGTTTCTTATCTACATCGATTAATAATCAAATGATTTACAAGATTATTCGAGGCATACACATTGCAATTGTTTCAAAGCGATTGCTTAAAGAAGACTTTAATTAAAAAATAGTATTCATTTTATTTCTTCAAAAAAATTTTAAACAATTTTTTGGTTATTTTAAAAAACCTTGTTGAAAATTTAAAAGAACGAGTTGAAATACTATATTTAAGATAAATATGATTTCCAACACATAAATCTCATATTTTTCTATTCAAAAGAGTAGATCAATATAGCGAAAAATATGTCAAGAATTGTCATGTTACTATTTTTTTTCAATATTTAGTCTAGTGAATACATGCTATTAATACACAGCACCATTCAAGTCAAACGAATCGTGAATAATTTAAGTGAATTAAAATATTTTCAAAGTTGAAAATGTTTGAATAAACTACTGTTAATTGAGCATTCATGTTTGAACCAGAGACAAAGAAAGCAACTACAACCAATTGTTATAGCTTATTGATTAGAAAATCAGTTTTGAAGACAACTTCAAAGAAATAGAAGAATTTAAGATATCAGGTATGAGAAATAAATGTTTTGAGAGGAATTTAGGAAAAAAAACTCCATAGAAATCGATAACAGCTCAATGCAAATAAAGTGACTTAAAAATGGGATAAGACAATCGTGAATTTGTAGCGCATCCATTTTTCGATATTTAATTTGTACGGTATCAATTAATTTTCTGTTCAGTTAGTGTATGTGTTCTGCATGTAGGAATATAACTTTCAGTGAGGATTACACTTTAAGCTATGGCTTTATTTGCTTTCTTTATCTGGCACCTAGGGACGCCAGAGAAAATTGTTCCAGTGAGAATGATTTGATGTATTAACAGAATGTTAGTCAATACTTCACTGGTGGACGCTTTTGCAAGCTGATCGCATGTGTATGAGGAATGATGCTAATTTTAAAATAAACATTATGAACAATATACACATTTTTACATGAACCTAGATGGAAAGATCCAGACCGTAGCAGCTACTTTGACGTGACGGTCGGGCTTGCTTATCGTGATGATCGAACCGAGCTATTTAGACTGGAACATATGTTCCTAAAGGTTCTACCATGCCAGGCAGGTCGATTGAAGAACAGTGAGACTAAAAGCAGCTACTCAAGGTTTGAGGACGAAGTCGTGCGGCTGACCGTAGAGGAGTGTGGTAACAGTAAGGTGTTTACTTCGGACAACTAGCATCTACAGCGACGCTGCCTTCTCACAAGGAAGGAAGAATTTAGAAAAGGTCAATCCTAAAGGTGTTAAACCTCACCTTACCTTACGTCTCCGGTGGTACGTTCTTTTAAACAAGAGCGGAGCTAACTCTTCAAAAAACTCCCGTAAAAAGGCCGTGCGCGACCGGCCTCAAGCAGTTGTCCCTCGGGCTTTGCAGTCACGCTGCCAGGTCGTTAACGCCGACGCTAATCCAACTTCCTTTTCAGGTTCCTCAATAAGTAACCTCCCACGGTGTGGGCAGCCGAGGAGTGACATTCGCCCTCATATCCGTAACAGCACACGAGACCAAATCGGTCACAATAAAAAATACATAGAGGACGTTGTCTACTATGAGTGGCAGTAATAATAATAGAGACTCCGGTCATTCACTGGTTAGCATTTTTAAAAGAATATCCCGTTTTTTGGAAAAAACAACTTACAATGTGTGTGTTTGATTGATTAAATTCTCTACTACATCTCTACCACTAAATTCCAGTGATTTTGGTCTTATTGGTTCATCTGTAACAGTGTGACTGGTATGATGGGTTCCTGTTGCCGCATTCGTCATCGCTGAACTTAGATACTTATCATTTTGATAATAGTGAGGCAGAGGACCAGCTGGTACTGCATGGGGAGGAGGAACAGGACGAATATAAGATTGTGCATTCACTGTCCATAGGTTTATTCCCGATGTCTGCTGATTATAATAGGGCAGTTGATTGTAAGCAAAATTTAGATTATTTGGTTTATTGTTGGGACTAATGTAGGGAATTGAATTTATACTTAGCTCAGGATTTAAAGTCATTTGTTTAAACCGGCAAGTGTTCTCCTGTAGTTGTTTCGAATATAGATTTGGTTGTAGCATGGGATAGTTGACAGGTCCAATAGAAGATTGTGACCAAGATGTATTATTCGGTGGATTTATTGATGGTGATATGAAAGAATGATAATTAAACGTGGAATTTATGCTATTTGGATCGGAATGAGAAAAAGGTACAGAAATCACCGCAGGAACAACGTCGCGTAAATTATGGAGATTTGCGTTGATTGGCCAATTAGATACAGGTGTTAGAGAGGCCAATGAAGTCGTCCATATCTGATTAGGCATCTGAGATGGATTAACATAATTTTGAGATATATTTGAACAAAAGTTTGAATTTTTATCATTGTTATCAGGAATAACTCCGTTTGGTGAGGAAATATCAATGTAAGTTTGTTGCAAATTGGCTAGACCATCTGTGCCATTATTGACGCTACAAGGTGGAGCATGTATTTTCATATATTTTTCGAAATAATCAATAACTTTCAAAGTGATTTGTTCCATTAACAACGGACAACTGACACATTGTAAAACTAGATCACAATATTCATTTACAGCCAAAGGACCTAAACTACTAGCAACCTGTAGATAGATCGATGAAACAAAAAAAGGAAGATATGCTTTTTTAATTAATGGTAAATTCAACTCAAATTCAAATTCACTACTCTAAGTAAGCCTATTTTGAAAGCGTAAAAAAATATATTATTACTTATATTATTTCGATCGAATTAACTCATTTGCTAGCTACTTGGTTATGAGCTTCCCTTTTAAATGTGATAACTAATGATAATATACGGTTACTCAGACCAAAGTAGGTTTGGGCAGAGTTCAAACCCGAGACTTGGTGGTTTAAAGTCGGACGCCTTAACTCATAAAGTAAGTAACTGCTCCACCAACAAAAGTGGAATACATAATGAATAACTAGTTTTTTTTAAGCATTTTCTTTCTAAACTTAATGATTTTTTTCTTACCAATCAGCTAAATTACCGTGTTATTCTTATTGCCAAAAGGAGCCACTTACAACAAAAAAGATAATAACACACTTCACAATCAACTCTGTTTAACGTAAAAAAAATACCACATGGCAGAAAATTAGTTCACAAGCAATTATAATGTTGTTCAATATTTGTTTAGTGTAGATAAAATAAGCAATTGCAAAATCATTATTCAGTTGATCGATCAAGTTATTTTGACTAAAATGATTCCATTAATTTAGTGTCTATGTTACATTGAAAAATTCTTAACATCAATCAAAGAGGAAATCACTCACAGTACATTAAACGCTAAGTATAAAATACATTGGATTATCAAAATTTGTTTACCAATAAATCACATTACAAATTGGCTTGAATTGACAACACATATTTATTACTCACAAAGACAAAAAAACTTTCATCATTATTTTTAATTTTATTCTTAGTAAGCGGTTTAGATGTTCGAATATGTGATTTGATTTTACTTTTTTTTTTGTTAATATTGGCTAATTACTATGTATTTTCGCTCTCATAACCAATACCAGTGTTGGATAAGATAATGTAGGAATATTTCTATCAATCATTATATATATATAGATGGATTTCAATATACTTTGTGTTGAGCATTCATTCAATCAAACAATCAAGAGGATACTATCTTAAAAAAATCTATATGATATTGTCACTCGACAGTGGAATAAACAACAAGTTATTGATATAATAAAACATATGAGAAAATAAAAACCCTTCTAGCTAACAGATGCATAATTACTTAGTTATAGTATGATAGATTAAGTATTAATTAGAAAACAAAAAAAAAAACATACATCTAAAGTCCAAAGTATATGTGCACTACATGATTTTGAATTGGCATTAGTAGTAGTTGTAGAAGAAGTTGCATTAGTAGTGGTTGTATCAGTATTAGTTAAATGAAAATCTGAGCCAACATTACTTGATGTCACTCTGATTTGATTGGATGTTCCACATGAAGATGATGATGAGATACCACGTATAAGAAATAATGATGATGATGAATTCTCTGATTGTAGACAATTATTTTGATCAGTTGTTGTTAGGGTATTACGTGTATTAGTTGGAAGAGTACAATTACTATTTGCATTATTAGTATCATTTTGTATGAAATGTCGACGTTGTAAATGATTTGTTGAATTTCCACGATGACTATGTTGCATATGATAATGATGATGCTTTCCACGTATATTTCTTGATGGCATAGAAACAGTAATAGGATTTTGACGTGTAAAATTTGTACTCATATTAGACTGTAATGTAGATAATAAAAGAAATATACCGAAACAAGAACTAACTCGGTGGAATATATTGATGACTCCAATTCATTTTAAACAATCAATACAAAGTAGTAGACAATAAATTAATTATTCTTTAATTTAAACAAAACCTTTGAAGAAAACTCAAAAGTGATGAAAGTTTGAAGTTTCTGTAATTCTGCTTAGTAAAGACGCAGATAAAATGCAGTCTTCTGACTACGCTAAGCAACAATGCAAGCATTTCCAGTAAGCGATTCTCCTTGTCGAAATACAAAATGTTGGTTTGAATAGACACCTAAACTAATCATAGGGAGTGAAGTAATTGAGCGTCTCATCAGCGCTGATGGCTTAGTGTGTGACGAAATATAGGGGCGGATACAGAAGACTCGATTAGCTTTTGCCAACTTGAGTCACTTATTGTGTCGGCGAGATATCCGTCTGCCAACCAAAGGACGGGTTTACTGAGCAGCAGTTCGTTCCGTCCTACTCTATGGTTGTGAAACTTGGCCAGTTAGAGTAAACGATACTTGTAGGTTATTAATATTCGACCATAAGTGTCTTCGAAGCATTGCTGGTATATCCTTGGACCATGGAGTAAGCAATGCTGTTGTTAGGAAAAGGATATTAGCTAAGAATAGCAAATCAATTGAGGAAGTAGTAAACCCTCATCAGTTGAGATAGTTGGCAAATGCGTTATGAACGCCCGATCACCGACTGCCTCGGAGAGCGATAATGCCTGGAGAAGGGGTAGACTAGAAGAAAGCTAGGGGTGGTCAGACTAAAATGTGACACAAACCCGTGAAGTCATTGATAGATTAATTGAGCCATGTTAGTAGGTTTAGACTACCTGATTGAGGTGCGCAGCTTGTATTCAGTGATCGAGAAATTGATTTTGTCTGTGCAATTCGAACCTGTACCAATCAGATAGATTTACAGTCGGAGATATAACAACTGATTAGCCATCTCCTAATTGAGCAATGGTCAACGGTAGAGTTTTTCTAAACTTTACAGATCAAGTTCCAACTTATCAATAACTATCCAAGGACTAAGGCTGTTTCCATGCTATATTATAGAATGAACGTATCTCAGCACTAAAAGTTGAAAAGCAGAAAACGCAGAGAATAAAAGAAAGGAAACGTACTTGGCTAGCTGATATCTTTTTAATCGCACATTTTGCACAGAAAAATGCTCTAATTAAATAAGCTTGTGCTTTCAACTTCAAAGATTGTAATTCGCTGGCCGTTGATTTTGCTGTACTAGCTGATAATTTCTCTTTATCATTATTATTTGATGATAATTCACCAGAGTTGTTGCTATTATTATTATTATTATTATTATTATTATTATTATTATTATTATTATATGGATTATTTTCATCGCCTAATCCATCTGCCACAGATTCGGTCAATCTACAAGAATCACCTTCAGATACAATTGATCCTTGATCAGACATAGATGGATGTACAACAACAGAACTAGAAGCAGTATTTGATGTTGTCAATTGACGAGTTGCCGTTAACGTGGATGATATAACTGATGATAGTGAATTGTCTGAAACCATCGGGCGATTGGATATTGCATTCAAATTAATATTATTGACACAACTGCTTTTATTACTGTTTATATTTCTAGTAGTGTTAATAGATGCTGACGATGTAACCGATTCAATGGTTTGATATTGTTGTTGTTGTTGTACTTGTGGCTGAGGTGGAGTACCAAGTACATTACAAACTAAAGGTTGATGACCAGGTGGTATAACCAATGGAGGATTATAACTATACAATGAAGGTTCTATTACTTGATCCACTGGATAAGCTTGATATGAATTACAGGCTAAAATTAATTTTAAAAATCGGTGAAGAAATGGCTTCACTACGAAAAAACAACGTTAAATTGACGAATAATAATGATTACAGTAGTGAGGGAAATGCAGGAACAACTGAATACTTAATTTTCTGCCATATCATAATCATGTTCCTAGAAGTGACAATGATTTTATCTGCTTTTTAAGGAATTTAACGTTATGACATTTTTTGCTTAAACCCGATATAATAGTGAGTCCAGTAGCGCAATTACTGTGTTACATTAGCAATCCACAACATAAACAGAATCATCATCTATTCCCAACCGCTAACTGGAACACTAACAAAGTCAACTAAGTGTCCTGTATTAACTTGTATTACTTAGACTAAAAAACACATGATTTAAAAACAAAAGATACAAAACTAAAATACATCATATATATATATATATATATATATATATATATGACTGTCCACGTTTCCTATATTTACTTGTTTACCCCGTCCTAATCGACTTTTCGTCTGAATACCTTCATCAATATGTACATAACACAAAAAGCCTAGTTTTATGTAAAGATGACTTTAAAAACAGTAAATTATCCTGAATATGAGTGAATAGTAGATGTGTCAGATCCTAATGTTACAGTCATCATATGCAAAATAATGGTTCACGATCGATTAACTTCACTATGCCTAGTTAGAAAATATTGAATGAAACAACTAGTTACATTGGGTACTACTGTTATGATGAACCTCCAACTAGAAACAGCCGGTTGAATATTAGCTACTGCAAAAGTATACATAAAATTGTTTCATTCATACAATATTTCATATGCTGTCTTAAAATAAAGCTTACAAGTTGAAATTTGGAAATTATCCATTGATAATTACACAGAACTATACAACTGCAATAATTTCAATGAGTTGTGTTCACTAACACGATTATTTTTAAGTTTAATTAAAATGAAAATATAAGACTTACGCGGAACATTAGTTGCAACGGTTGGAGATATTGAAGCGGATGGATTTATATGATGTGGAATAGTGACAAATGGACCACTCGGAATTATATTCATTGACTGAGATGACGATAACGGTGCTGGAAGTGGAGTGTTCGGAATAAACTGAGGATGTACAAAATAATTAGTGGGAGATTGAACAGGTCTCATTGCAGGTACAGATGGCATTCCAAATGAGTATGGTACAGTAGACTGTGAAATAATTATAAACAAAAGAAACAAAAGTAAAATTATCATAACTTTTTAAACATAAACATTAAGCTTATAATTTATTTATTCAATAGAACAGGCACTTAATATAGTGATGATTTTAATGATTGACTGAAGTAAACCAAGTAGTTTCTACACCAATCTAGTAGTGAAATTTTCAACAGTAATAATGAATGAATAAATGGAGAGTTTGCTCAAAATGTGACTTAACATGTGAACAAAAAATAACAGGGATAATAACTATAATGACTATTTCGTATCATAAGTATTCTCATAGCTTAAAAATGTTATAACCCTCATTCATCAACATCAAAAGCAACGTAGAACTTTGCATGTAGGTACAGCAGTTCAAGTTGCCATACCACATTAGCACAGAGATATAATTGTCAGTTCAAATCCTATAGTAGTAGAGGTAGTAAAAGTATTAGAAGTAATGGAGAAGATTAGGGTTCCAAGATGTTATTGAAGAAGTAAGATTCAGTGAAGTAAATTTAGGAAGAGAAAGATAGAGGTGATGAGCAATTCAGAAGGTTAGAATTTGAGAGAACACAAAGAATAAATGCACCGGCGCCATTGCAAACGATTTTGAGACCTGTCAGTCAGGGTCTCTAACCATCGATTACTATCATCTCGCGGGCCCCAACCAGGTAGTAGACACACCTACCGACATGACTCAGTCCACTTGTCAGTGACTTCACGGATTTCTGCCATGTTTTGGTCTGGCCGCCCCTAGATTTCGTCCAGCCTATCCCTATATCGAAAAACAGCTCGACAAGGCAGTCGGTGGTTAGGTATACGCAACACATGTCCCAACCACCTCAACTGATGAAGTTCCATTACTTCATCTATTAACCTGCCATCTTTATCTAACACCCGTTTCCTGATAACAGCATTGCTCGCTCGGCTGTCACACGATACTCGATCAATGTTTCGAAGACACCGTTGATCGAAAACCAGTAACTTACGAATATCTTATCTTATAACCCTACCTACTTGTAGATAATCTGCGCAGTAACACATCAGATATTAGTGTTAATGAGCAACCATTAAAAGTATATATATATATATATATATATATATATATATATATTAAAAATAGATTCACAAATACTTCACTTAAAATCAAACTAAAAATGTATGAAAGACAAGATAGCCTAAAGAATAACATAATATCCGAATAAGGATAACTAGCAAAAGCTCATTATCAATTAACATTGATATGAGACAAGATTAATTAAAGTCTTATGAAGGGGTTAGTTAGTTTTCTATTGATTCGTTTATGAAATAAGATGATCAATAGTATTCTACAGGAAATATCACTTCTTTGAAAACAAATCCAAAAAAGTTAAAAGCTCAAATATATGCTCCATTCAAAAACTTCTCTTTATTAGATATGAATTACTACACAATAGTAATATGAACTTTGATATGATCAGTATTTGGATAAATTCTCATCGCGTGAAATAAAATGCACATCATATACGAAACATAATAATCTAATTCTTCCATAAACATTACACAAATTTGTAAAAGAAAAAAAACATTCCTCATTAATAACGAAAACTTCTTACTTGAATTGGTGACACTAACTGAGGTTGTGGTAAGTAATGTGATACATGATGATGAGGAACAGATTGTTGTTGCTGTTGTTGTATTGTAGATTGTAATTGTGATTGTGTGCTATTATTATTTACTTGTTGTTGTTGTGACAATGATTGAGGTGTTTGTAAACTAAGCATATTCATATAATACAGAAATGGTGTATATTGTTGTTGTTGTAGTTGCTGCTGCTGTTGACCAAGTGGAAAACATCCATAATTGAAATTCATCGGGAACACTGTAGAGCCAGGATACATCAATTGTCGTTGTTGTTGCTCCTGCTGTTGCTCTTCTCGTAGAATTGGTTGTTGAAATAAATTAACCGATTGATAATAATGCCAAGCACTAACTAAATCATCAGTGGCTAGATTACTACTATTGTTAGGATTATTATTATTATTATTATTATTATCATTGGTTGGATGAAGTGAATCTGAAACTAGTCGCATTTCGGCAATAGGACAATTATTATCACTAGCAGTAGTAGTAGTAATAGTAGTAGTATTACTATCATTGTTATTATTGATGGTAGTGACATTGCTATTCATATCATGCATTGAATTAATCAAATTAGGATGAATAACAATATTGGAATCAGATAAATTTATATTCATTGTGTTATTTCTATTATTCACTGGTAAATCCTCATGATCATTACGAATTTTCAATGATTGATTTAAATTGTTAGAAGATTCCAATGAATTCAATGCTTGTTCAAGTTCTTTCTTAGTGGAATGATGTAAAGCATACCAACTTCTTGCTAAATAGAAATAGATCTCTGGTAAAATATCATGTGATGATTGATAAGCGCTACGTTCAACGCATAATAATCCACGTTCTAAAGTATGACTTGAATGTTCACCGCATTGTTCTAATGCTCTGTATAAATCTTGTGGTTTTAATGCTGTACATAATGATAAACTGGCAAGACATAATTCTGCAGCAACGTCAACAAGCTATATAAGGCAGAACAATTCAAAAATATATATACATATACTTATACATTTAAAACATACTATGAAAATATAAAAATTATATTGTTTAAAAAATTAAAATCATTCAATCACTAACAGAGTTAATGATCACTTTCGTACATTCAGCTAGTGAGTCTCGATTCGGATAAAACGGACATCCTAGATTCCACTGCTAGCCACCATCCATCTATGTCTATAACGTTTGTCACTTTATGGCTATATCGAAACAATCCACAAAGAATGCATAGATGCCGATGGAGACTAATCTATTTCATTCCTAACTATCGATGAGAAACTTCAAACAACCAATAACAATTTGGCAAACGGTTGAAGACTGAGTATTTTAACTAGTAAGCTAACACACTACTACAAATAAAGAACGATCATGTCGAACTCAAATATAAATCGCTCATCATTATTTTGAACAATAAGCAATAAAAATGAATTTACACCTTATAAACAAAACTTTTCAGAAAGAAAAACACTTTTGGAAAACCCAGAAATCATTGTTTGAGTAAAACGTCAAGTTTGTAAAAATAAATTTTAAAAAATCTAAATTTCTTACAGAACGATTATTTGTTCTTGATAATTGAAATGAGATAGCAGCTAGTTCTGCAGCTGTAAGATGCTGTCGCCAAGAATGATATAAAATACAAGCAGCTGGTATACCGATTTCAAATACTTGTTGACTTATCCATCCACCATTTCTTGAAAATGTACGATTTTGCCAAGAAGGCAAGAGACAATTGAATAATCCTAAGCCATAAAGTCCTAACTGAAATGTAAAGGAAAGTGTTTGTTGTTTTAAAAATATACAGTTAAGAACAAGAATGAACAACAACAAATGTGTAGAATTTTTCAGTAGGGATGTGTAATTTTCAGTTGCTTACTATCTGAATTCAATAGTCTACGCTAGGAAGGTGTATTGAGATTCAATTTACACTATGAACGTTAGCACACTGAGATCCAGATACATAAAATTTAAGAAAACTTACTCTTAAATTGTAAACATGAGATCAGAACAATTGAATTTTATGTTGGAAAAGTTAATGACTACGAAATATGACACGAAAATAAACGAAAGAAATCGAATGGAATTTTTTTTCAAGGAAAAGCTTACTTAAAAACATACATTGTAATAAACTTATTGAAGAAGGAGAAGTTATTCATGAACTTCCCATATTCTTCAGAATAGATTGTAAATAGTTGTACAGTAAATATAATATTTTTAAAGATGAATCTTCAGAGTAAAGTTACACTTTATGACTAATCAGACATGAACATTACTATCGCATACTATTATGTAAACTGTTCGCAAAGTTTTTTATCTACTCGGCTAGGAGGTTACTAATATCACTTTGCTCGCTTACCAAGCCAAAGTAGATGGGTCAGAGTTTAAACGTGCAGCCTACAGGATGAAAGTCGGGAGTTTATATCATTAAATGACAACCTGTTCCAAACTAAAGCATATATTTGTCAATATTATTAATTTTATATTTAAAACCCATTCAATTCATTTCGAAACAAGTTAATATCTCCAGGAATTCAAGGAATTTACAAGGTTAACAAATAGTGAGAGGAGCTGAGTTGTAGAACATCATAGTAAACTAACCTGAAATGATATTAATTGAAGATTACGATGTACGGTATCATTTCCTTCCGTTTCAGCTACAAACATAGATCCACTGGTACTTGGACCACCAGCACATTCACAAATTGTTTCAGCTAACTGAAATGCATGAAAAGCCATGGAATCCGATAAAGGTTGTGGTGGCGGACGTTTAAGATGTGAATGCCAACCTATACGTAAACGATATGGACCTGTAGCTGTAGATAAATTTCTAATAGGAAGAGAAGACATTGAAACTTTGGATGTAGGGGAATTAGGCTTTGAATCCCTCTTAGGTTCATAATGAGAGCCTGATTGAGAATAAGCATCATCTGGCTAAAATAACATAAATAGAAAGAAAAACCAATATCATCGACATGAGATGATATACTTCAACAATCAAGATAGCTCTGATTTAAAATTATATATATATATATATATATATATATATATATATATACATCGCTCATAATTTTTTCCTGACTACCGTCCAACCCGTTAACGTCGAAAAACAGTGTATGCAATATCAAGTAATTTTGACTAAATCAATTTAAAGACTATACAATATATTGCTTACTGATCCGTGATTAAGCAATGTTTTCAAGCTTGGAATAAAGTCATTGGTTTAACCTCATTTCATTCATTCATTCAGTTACAACGTAAAACTTCGTACGTAAGTACATCAGTTCATGTCGTCATACCACATTAGCCCAGAGATGCAGTTGTCACTTTGAATCCCATACTGGTAGAGATGGTAGAAGTATAAGCAGTAATGGATAAGATTAGGGATCGAAGATATCATTCAAGAAGTACAATTCAGTGAAGTAAATTTAGAAAGAAAAAGATAAAGGTGATGAGAAATTCAGAAGATTAGAATTTCATAAAACACAAAGATTAAATTCACCTGCACCAATGCAAATAATTTTGAGCCATGTCATTCAAGGTCTCTAACCATCGGTTTGATTTAACCTCAATGGTCATGAATTGATAATGGCAACTATTGAAAAATGATAATACATCTCATCAACCAATGATGAACTTTTGAAAACAGCCTTTAGACAACTGTATAAACTTAAAAGTTTACAAGTTAAAGTAAATGTAGTCCATTTCGAACCGGCTACTGGAAATTGTTAAAAAAAAATACAACTTCGTTCAGTCTACAAATCATAACATGCTGAATTGTATAGTTTAACCAAATAAATTTACAGACATAATGAACAAATTCAAAGTTATTCATTAGGAATTATTAGATAATAATATTTAATACCAACAAAAAATCTATAGACAGTAGAACATACCAAAGCTTGCATAAAATCTGTTTGAAATCGATCGTTATCATTATTATTAGTATTATCTTCCTTACTGATTGTCATATTATCATTAACAGATTGTTTCTTATTCATCTCTGTACCAATACATTCATCATTGTCGTCATCATCCTCCTCCTCCTCATCATCATCATCATCATCGTTATCATCGTCATCACCACCATCATCATTATCAGAGAATGAAGAGAAAGATGATTGTATGGTAGAAGTTTGTTTAACATGATCAATAGGTTGAATATGATCACTACTCTCATCTAAAATATGCGTTGCGTTTGAACAAAGTTCATCATTATTGTTGTCATTATTATTATTATTATTATTATTATTATCATTCAGTGACGCTGAATTGACTAGGCTTGATGATAATTGTTTATAACGTTCAGCAATCATTCCACAATTACTACCACCACCACCGCCATCACTACTTTCTGTTGTTTGAGCTTCGGACGGTTTTGTACCGAACAGTATGAAACGACGTGTTGCAGCCGGTGAATTATCACTGCTAGTTGTTTCCGGTGCACTAGTCGTATCCACTATACTTGAATGACGTTGCATTTTTCTGCGAACATTATACAGAGTAGCACAATGTAAAGTATGCAGCTGATTGGTTTTCGATCAAAAATAAAAACAAAAAAAGTGGAAAAAAAACATGACCAATCAGTATGATTGAATATGTGAGATGTACGAAAACAAATGTAACAATAACAAATTAAATTGTTTATTCTATGTCAGTTTTACATGCATGGATCGATTCTATGTGATCAGTTTAGTGAGTATGCAAACTCAGTTACTGAAGTAATTAAGTACGAACGACGATCAATCTCCTGTCCTTAAGAAAACATAAAACGTGTATAGTCTTTTGTGCGTCAAGATTATTTAATTCACTGTCGTTGATCAAAACATCTGTTTATACATGATTCGTGGCAAAATACTTTACTTAGGGGGTATGAAAATTATGTGACAGATTAATATTTCAACTTCACAGACTCAGCACCTTAAAATAGTATTTGATTCGAAAATCCAAAATGCGTACATGGAAGCAGAATCGTGATCATTAGAAACGATTTAGTAATTGATCTAATTAAATATACAACGAATGATCTGTGACCTAATGAACGAGTTGATTGTTTAAAATGCGGAATTCACTACGCAATCACATGCCTGTGAATATATACACGTTTCAAGAACTCGTGGTCAGTTTACGTTACTTCATACAGAGTACACGTCACGAAAACAAAGCAGACTTATTTGTTTCCCACTAAGAAACAAACAATCAATGAACTCTTTATAGTTGAAATCACGAATTTATTTAAGACAGACCACAATTAGAGACCTGAAAGCACTGGATGACCGTTTTTCCCTAGTATTGGGACTCATCAGCAGTGCACATTCGTGACGCCCAAACGTGGGAATGGAGACCAGAAACTGTCTTGCGTGCAAACGCTTGACTTGTAGACCAATGAGTCGTCTAGTGCTTCCAGGTTTCTAATGTTGGTCTAGCTTAGATTAGTTCGTGATTTTAACTATAAAACTAATACAATCTCTACAAATCTACTTCATTAATCAACAAAACTATTTTCTGTTAAAACTTATCTTAAATCATCCACTATATGTGAAATCGATAGGAGTGAAAAATGGTAATGAGTAATTGCTATTTATTTCGTTGAAAATTTGTAAAAACATTGGAAACAGGGCACGCCTTTATATTTATATATATATATATATATATATATATATATATATATAGGGCTATGCATAAGGCTCAATTGAGTTTAGAACATGCATACATGAAACAAAGGAATATTAAAGAGAAACGAGGATAAATTCAGTGAGCTTGAAAGATGCTACACAAATGTAACAATGTTTACTCTCTCGTACTACATAATTTCAAGGTTATATGAGAAATATGAATGAAGAACCATTGTTTATTTCGTGACCCTTGTTTATGATTAACCATTAGTTGTATGATAAGTAATCTAGTCCTATATCAACTGAATATTCCAGCAACGAAATAACAGCATCAATTACTTGACACAAATAATACATCATTTGGTCAGATGTTCAGTATTCTGAAATCTATCTTGCCGTGACTATCTCAACTACTGTAATATAAATTTATGAAATTGATTAACCCTCATAATAGTTGTAGTTATTTATATAATGATAAGTAAGTAGTATAACTAATTAAAGATTAAAATTATGTATTTACTAAATTATGATTATGCTAATCCATTAGGATGATACACTAATGAACGGAATCAATATCGTATTACTAAGAAATCGTAAAATCGAGAAATAAAACGTTAACTAGATTGTAGATAGACGTTCTTAAAGAAAAGCAACAAGTATACAATTTAAGGTTAGGGAGTCCTTACTGATTACTACTTACTACCTAATAGCGAAATATAGCACACCAAATATTAGTCACACACACACACACACACAATGTATCAGAGTCAACAATGCGATAAAGATATTGATTAGTACGCAGTCATTAATCACTGTACATAGTCAATATAATTATCTACTATCAATGATCAGTTTTGCTAGTAGTTGTCAACAGACAAACTTTTAGGTAAAAAAAAAAATACAAGATTTTACTGATAAATACCATATTTGAACACTTAGACACAGGCTTAATGATCCTCAGAAGTCTTTCACCCTAAACAAACCGTATGTTACGTCTAAGCTCTATCAAAAACGAGGTTATTTAAATAATCTGATGTAAAACCTTGACAATCCACAAGCTTTTGGAATCGTAGTAAAATTGTTAATGAATTCAATAAGTGTATAATCCGGATAAAGAAAGTGTAATTGATCGTTTTCTAGATTTCTCAAGAAATTTTTTAAGGTGCATTGAAAGATCAGTTGGCATATTTTGTTCAAAGCATTCTTTATAGATTTTGAAAACTTTCTTTTTTGCTGGCGAATTGTTAAGGGCTTTTAGAATATTTGCCCAAAACAAACTTTTCACAAAAAAAACACAAATATGAACACTTTAATTTATTTTATCCTGATTGGAACACTTATATCGACAAACTAATCATAGGGCATAACAAGGCTAAAGTTGACCTACCTTTGAGTCAGATAAAGTATCTGTATCTTCACTAATCGATAATGGATCAAATGAACAAGGATCATTCTCATTATTGATTGAAGTATGTTGTTTATCATTTTCAGATAATCGACGAATATTATCAAGATCTAACGAATCTGTTGTATTAAACGAATTAGAACATTTATCTGGAGAGAGAGAGACAAAAAATGATCATAAAAATATTTAACAGTTGAATTATTGACTTTTATTTTCTTACTTAGAAGATAATTATACAAATGCATTAATGTTTATCAAGGTCTAGAGGTTAGGTATAAATAGGATTTGATTGTGACCAATTTGCTCACGTGTGCTTTAATGGATATGAGGGCGAATGTCACTCATCGGCTGCCAACACTGTGGAAGGGTACTTATAGAGAAACCTGAAAAGGAAGTTGGATTAGCGTCAAACATAGCGGCCTGGGAACGTGACCGTAGAGCCCAAGGAACAACCACTCGAGGCTGGCCACACACGGCCTTTTTATAAGAAGTTTTTAGAGTATTAGCTCCGCTCTTTATAAAAGCACTTATTGGGCAACCGTTACCGACGGAGACGGAAATCCGTGAGTTAGGGGAGGTGCGACATTTTTAGGGTCGACCTTTTCTAACCCTTCCTTCATTGTGAGAAGGCAGCATCGCTGCAGATGCTGGTTATCCGAGGGAAACACCTTACTGCTATCACACCCCTCTGCAGTCAGCAGTACGACTTCGACCTCAGACCTTGAGTAGCTGCTTTTAGTCTCATCGTTCTCCAATCGACCTGCCTGGCATGGTAGAACCTTCAGGAACATATGTTCCAGCCTATATAGCTCAGTTGGATCATCACGATAGGCAAGCCCGACTACCATGTCAAGGTAGCAGCTACGGTCGGGTTAGGTATAAACAGAATGAAGTAGATTAAAGTTTTCAACAAAAATAAATTAAGATTATATGAAGTGGAAACAATATTGAAAGCTGTAATATAAATGGAGAAAGCAGCAGTAAATATAAACGCATTTTATGTATGAAGTAACCAGTACTCAGAGTATGGGTCGGGAGCATAAATTTATAGATGAGCCAGTAATAATCGACTTCAAGTTTACAATGCATATTCAGATCCAAAATACATAACTACGAACGCTACACTGTTGATTTCAAAGATTTTATAGCACACTGCTTGCAACAGATAGGATTGTTGAGAGGATTCATTATTCATGATTGTGGAGTGTAAATGACTGTTGGGCAGTGTGACGATTATGGCGATGTTCAAGTGTTCCGATCAAATTTTATCGTGAGTAAAACCACAAAGAACGGGGATACTTTTTGCTTGTTCTGGGTTGGTTGAGTTAGGTTGAGTCTTGTAATAGTAATGACAACAGTTACATTAACTCTTACTTTCGTTGATATCACAGTCTCGCCTTGTGGATGGAAAGTAGTTCGAACTGACAACCTATTTATTCGAAAGATCAGTTGCTCTAACAACCAAGTCACAGTCCTTCTAATAATAGTAAACCTTACCCGAATATTTACATGATTAAAACTACAAATTTACTTCTGTAAATATTCTCATATATGCTAATGACTTTAGCATAATACACATAAACCAATAGGATTGATAATACTTCTCAAACTCATATCCAAACTATTCTATTAAATTTTTCTATTATTAACTAATGATGCAGTTATGACTAATAACATGTTCCTATAAATTGAACAATTTGTAGAAAATAATACACCAACCACTTCGACAAGCGATGTTGTCTGATGTAGGGGTTGGCTGGAAGAAAGCTAGGGGCTGGTTAGGATTGCCGAGACGATAGTAACTGACAGTTAGAGACTTTAAATGCATGGCTCAAAATTTTTTGCATCTATTCTTTGTCTCCTCGAAAATTCTAATCTTCCCCATAACTGTTTCTTCTCTTTTAAAAGTTATTTCGCTGGACTATACTTCTCGAATTATATTTCCGAACCCTAATCTTTTCGATCATTGCTAATACTGCTACAACCTCTACTACTAGGAGATTCGAACTGACAATTCCATCTCTCTGGGCTAATGTGGCATGGCAACTTGAACTGATGTACGTATGTACCAAGTTCTAAATTTTAACTGACTGATTCATATTCCAAAACATTCGAGAAATATCAATATTGTGACAGAATCGGGAAATCGAATCTAGGATCTTCAATCCCGCGCATAAACGCCTAAATTCTAGACCACTAAGTTTGCATCCAGAGGTGCTCATTTCCAACTTCAATTAATTCAGGATACTGCACGATCATCTTCCATTATCCGCAGAAAATAACTGTCTTACATCCGATGTAACTGCATCCCATTGGTCACGGTTTCTCAATAGGACTCCAGAAACTAACTTGAAGCTAGTCACTTGCGAGAAAGTGAATAATACTAATGTAAGGTATTAGCTTGGTGGTGCAACTCCTGGAGATCTAGTGAGAAGCTGTGACGAGTAGAGTTCAGTCACATCGAGTAACAGACAGCTATCTACAGTAGAAAATGGGAGATGGTCGTGTAACATCGTAAATGATTGATTTTTTAATTTATGTGTAAGAGCCCTCCAATAAACTGTTTCATATATATAGCATTGGCGCTGAGATAATAACATAAAAAATCATTGATTACCGACATTTATACACATACATAAGTACAAACATAAACAGAGACAGACAAGCAGAAACGTACCGTTTTCAACAGGTTGGTGAACACTACTAGGACTACTACTTCTATTATTATCATCATTATGCACCATTTGATCCTCTGTATCATTTGTTTTAATTATTGAAGATTGTTTTTGTTCTTCACTACAATACATTAGTTGTGTGTTGTTATCTGGTAAATTACTGTTTACAAAGGAAGTGGTTGGATTGGAAACTGTAGATAAATTCACCACATCTTGAATGTTGCTGATGTTATTAGTATTACCATTATTATTATTATTATTATTATTATTATTATTATTATTCAACGATAAATTATTTAGCTCCAGGGTAATTTTTGAAGCGACTGGTACACAGCTGTTTTGTGATATATTTAATTTATTTTCAATTTTATTTGTCACTAGTACTTCAGGAACAGAATTATAATCCAAATCCGGTGATTGAAAATTCATTAATTCACGAGATCCCAAACTTAAACAAGCCCATAAAGGTGGTGATTTAAAGTAAGGATTATAGTAGCGATCAAGTAAACGTGCACGAATCTAAAATGAAATAATGTAAAATCAAAGAATTACAAGCATGATATCGATTATCACCACTATTTATTTAAAGAAAGAATCAAATAAATAAAATTAATGCATTACGCGTTTTTGTCACATTAGGCTGTTAACAGTTTTACTGTTATTATTGTAAATACAACAAGGATACAAGAAACTGTTGGGGACGTTAGATTGTAGTGCATCCACATTTATTTGCATCCGCTTACATTTAATTTGCTTAAGCCCTTTCGATTAATTTATTTAACCAAGCCATTTGTATAGCAACAACTCATATGTACCATTGGTATTTTTTATTATCTGGTTTGTATGAGCTTATACGACTGAGCATTGCTTACGCTTACGCACTTACTCATCCTTTTCGCTTTAATGTTAATCTCTTAATATTCCCATGAACCCACATGATTTGTATCGCTTGTCATTTGACCTTGTCAATCATTCGTCGCTTTTATTCATGTGTGTGCATACCTATTTCGCTTGTCATATGTCTGTCTTATTCTTATCTGACTATATATTCTTAGTCATACTCTATCTCTTTGAGTTGGCTCACTAGCCTTCTCCACGTCGCTTCGTTCATTCGCTTGCATTGTAATCCAAAGAGTTGGCTCACTAGCCTTCTCCTATTCGCTTCTTCAATTCGCTATGTGGTGTGCCTCGAATAAACGTATACGATACTTGGAGTTCATCTTCTGATTTATAAATCGAGCTTAAGAACACGCAGCCATCGGGCACACTACAAGATCACCAGAACTCACTTGATAAAGGTCCTAATTTTTTGATTTTATGTTTTAGCGCATGGGCTGATCAGTGGACCTTGAGATTACATTCTCCACTCGGAAAATCCTTGACTTTTATTGGTTGATGCATCAATTTACTCAGCTATTTTCGTGGCTCTCCCAAGGACGTTTCTATCACGTATATATAAACTGGTTTTTGTGTGCTTGAAAAACCTCATATTTTCTGGATGCTTGTAGAATACACTTTCTACGCCACATTAAGACTTCTTCATCTACTTAGTGGGGCCTTTGGACTCTCGGATTAGAATAGCCTATCGTGTCACTGGATCACTTGTCTCGCTCTCGTTTACCGACTAAGGTGAACTCGTAATAGTTCAACCAATTGAAGAGCATAACAGAAACAGGCTCATATAGACCAAATTTACTGGAACAACTGATATTTACACTTTGTTTAAACTGCTGTATCCAAATAACGACACTAACAAGTGTTGGCAAGGCATAATGAAGGGTACCCTTAAAGAAGATTTGGCAGTTACAACAAAATGTAGTTTGGTTGTTCTTGCCACACCCCTTAGCAATTTACTTTTGTTTGTACAAGCTTGACTAGTAAATGTGTCGTTACTAATTGCACCCATCACACTGCACTGATTTTCGTGAATGTAATTATTTACTTGATGCAAATACTCAACAGCATGAGCATGAAGTTTGACAATATGTCAGTTTCCATGCTATATTTGTGTACAGTGTCTGTATGAAATGTAATATTCTTAATAATATTTAGCATTCGACTATTAACACGTGTATTGTATATACACGTTATAGAATATAAGCAAAATTAATCTGAGACATGTATTTCAGATCAATAAGTCATGAACTGGGATTGACCCACTAAAACCAACAGCTAATGACCACAACGACAGGAAAGAGATAAATGGAATGCAACGATAAATGAACAGTGCACAGCCATTAGTAGAGATATCAATCAAAGATGCAAAAGAAAAAACTCTAATGCCAGTGTTATTCCTATCATGATAAATTAATGGTAATTCTAATTGCCAGTATTCATATAAATTCAATCTAATACTACAATTATTTCATTCTAATTCTGTCCATTTAATATGATTATATGTTGATTGTTTATTACTACTGCAAATGCTAGTTAATGAAAATACATGATAACATTTGTATTCAAGTTCTCACTTAAACCATTCCCCCTCGATTATCAAATTAAAGATAACAGATATAACAGAAACACAAGTTTTCTTCAAGCAAATAGGAAAGTTCATCCAATGAAACTGTTTCAGAAAAAATTAATAGACAACAAGATTTATCAAGTAACAAAGAAAAAAGTGCATACTAGGAAACCGATGAACGAAGTGAATTTTACTTGAGATAAAGAACATTTTGCAGAATGACATTAAATTACTGAAATATCTAAAAAGCTCAGCTTATAAAGTCAAAAAGTTAACTTGATGTTCTCTCACACAAGTCAAAGGATACAATCATTAAATTAAATAACGGACTAGCTTAATTTATCTGCTGGCATGAATGCTGTAAAACAACACGTGTGAGGGCATGTCGAAAAGTAAAATACAGAGAATCTATAAATAAGCCTTAAATGTTATTACTGAAGTTAAGCAGTGAAAAATAAATCTATTGCAACAACTCTAAACTCTGAAAGTGAAGTAGCGATAGGTTAACAAATCAAGTCGTTATAATGACCAATCTAACACATGAATATGCAATATCAGTGCCGATAATGATCAATGATAGCCGCCTAAGCATACAGAGGCAGTTGCTAAGACAAACAAACAAAATTACCATAGCTTATTTCTTTTAAAAGTTTATTATGACACTGTTCAAACAAGAACATGAAGGCTTTATGATTAAATGAATACCAATCCTACTGATTGTCTTCAATCGTACGTCAGTAATATTAGATCATACGTATTTTCAAAGCACAGCTAGTGTATATCGAGACCACCAAGTGAGCGATGCCTCCGGTAGGCTAGGACCACTAGATAAAGATTATAAACCAATTGCTTAGGTAGTAAATCTTCATCAGCTGAGGTAATTGGATGATATGTTACAAACATCTAGCTACCGCCTACCTCGATGGATGATGTTGCCTAGCGTGGAAGTAGGTTCGACGAACTGTCAGGCTAAAACATAGCAACAAACAATGAAGTCATCGACATTTGAGCTGAAATATGTTAATAGGTAGCAGCGAGTTAGCAACCAATAGTTAGAGACATTTGGTGACATGACTCAGAATCGCTTGTGATAGCTCATATCGTGGTGTGAGCTACTTATAAGTAGTATATGACGTGAGTGTCAACGTAATGTCTGGCAGAAGAGGATGGGGGAATATCAAGACAGGAATAGTTAGAAAACAATGGAATTTGTATTAAACACATGAATAGTGACAATGGATGGATGTTTTGCAACAGGAACAGTCCAGTTCGATATGATGGACTGATATTTTGCAAATTAACGATTTGCGATATGGTTTTCCAATTTTACTGAGTCACTCTGTAATTTTCGCTAAATACAATCCGGTTGCCCCACCTGTGTTCTCGTTCACTACAATATGTGTTCACTCCTTACCTTCTTTGAAAAAACGAGTCCTGAAATCTCCTTAAACAAGGTTCACTATTCCTAAACTTCTTCCTTCTGCTTAATACTACTAATGGTGTTACTACTTCTCCAAGTTCGGGATCTGCAGTGAAATAATTTTATTTTGTTGGGCCAATGCAGTGCGATAAGTTAACCGATAGAAAAGTGCATCAGTTTGTAAGTTGTACATGGCTGACTGGCAAATAGTCAAATAATTTTCGAAAAAAAAGACTCACTCGATCAAGTTTCGATATATCATCCCGATACATACGAAATAAATACACGGCTAAAGCATCTTCTTGAACACGTTGACCTTCAATAAAATAAGTGAATAATCTTTCGGGTACACGAGATTTTACTCCCAATACTGTTAAGACAGACTGTAAACCTAATTCCGCATCTGCTGCAATACGAACACTGATAGGATGATCAGTTTTTTTCAATTCTGATCCACTAGCAGATTTATATATGTCCATTGCTAATGGTAGACCACTACCAGCTAACACTGCACCAGTTGATAATACTGGACAAGAAAAAAAATTCTCCATCAGTGAAATATTAATATTTGGTGCAACGTTTTCTGTATGCTGATGAATGGATGGAATAAAATTAGCTGATTGTGGAGGTAAATAATTCCCACAGGATCGAACCACACCAACCAGTTGATGAAATAAATAGGTAGCCAAATTAAACGGGACATGAATATCTATAATTATGATCCAATAAAAAAAAATACGATCAAAAAAACTTACAAATAAACCGCATAAAATATAAACGTTTATTATCTAACGTAAATCAATATTATCTCTCAAATATCATGTTTTTACGAAGGTAAAGAAGTAACTTATTATTAACAAACAGAATAGGGAGACGCCATGAAATACCTATTGACATAGAAAGCAAACAATTATAATGAACATTTTGATAACATCCTGTAAAATATAAAGCTTCTCAGTCTGTAGCAATAATTATTGATATTTTATTTGCGGACATAAACATTGGTATAAAGCGGAAACAAAATATGTGCCACGAGTTTATTCAATTGGTGTCTGGGTTATGACACTGATCAGGTGCCTAAACTGGAGCAGGTGATTTTAGGGGGTCAGTACCAGAATACTTTACCTACAGGTCTACTACACAAAGTAGTGGAGCCAAGTTAGGGGATCCAGTCCCAAGACATCCTGTGACCAACAATACGTTTATACACCATTTGTCCCCTCGAAATCCTGGAGCCCATGTGCACCAGGGTCTTTTAACTCACTTACGTAGATCTTCCGTACCCACAAACCCGATTTACGCTAGACACTCGCTCTTTGTCATCTCAATTTCGTAAACACCAACGCCGCGAAAAGGCAGGAAGGCTTTCTTGAAAGTGGTTATATGAGAGCATTTCGAGAGAGAGAGGACACTACTCACCCTCGGCCACACCAGAATATTTGGAGGATTGTGTAAATAAAAAATGTAAACAATCAAACAACACTTGAACGCACATTTATTAAGAAAGCAAGCATACATTTTATACTGAAGAAATGTTTACATATTACCAGTTAATTTTTAAAATCAGTGTACGATCATCACAACAATAAAAATATATAATGGTCAAATGTGAATGAATTTCTTAAGTTATTATGCATGGGTTGGATAATAGCACAGATCTGATTGGTTTATAACAAGAAATCAAAGTGAGTTTTCTATTTCACGATACATAAGATTAGGAGGTTAATGGGGAAAAAAACAACTACTATCTGACGCAGATTTGATATTAATTTATTAAGTTATGGAGTTTTTGCTTACTTCAAAAGGAGTTTCACTGGGAAAAATACGAAGTTTGTCCTGAAACTTGACCTCATATACGGGATGTACGCCTACAATCACTGTTGGTCAACCTAGATTCTCTAATTTTATATTTTATACAATATCTATACAAGTCATCACATTTCACTGTGAATTCAGCATACCATATCAAAAAGAACGTACCCATAAATACTCACCTTTTTGATGTAATGTTAAATTGGATATTAATTGTTTCGCCTCACTACGTATACTTGATATTACATGTGGACATGCAAGATGAATAGGCAAGAAACATAGTCTAGTAAGTAATGTAATTTCCATGACAAATAATTTCACTTCTAGCAATGGACTACAACATGGTGGTCGAGGAAAATTCAATGCACAAAATCCAAGACGAAAAATCAACTCAATATCAATACATTCCCATATATCGAAAGGTTTGTTTAAATCAATATTTCTAGTCTCCGTTTGCTTCCTGTGATCAGTGGTATAATTGCCAACAAAACTACTATTACCGCTTACATAATCAACATTGTTATTATTAATATTATTTGCATAATCAAAGCGTGTTGTTTTAGGGAAGAAAATATTTCCATTAGTCGAGGAATTTGGCATATTAAAAATACGTTCCTTGTGTGAATTTGAAATGCATTCCATGATACACCGTATCTGATCCAACCAACGAATAGCCTGTCAAGTATGAATAATATATATGTAAAAGTATTTCAATCCGGTAAAAGAAACAAACCATTCTACTGTATTAAAATCAAGATCATTCCCATGTTATACTATCTAGTGTATATTAATTAATGGTTTCAAGTTATCGTGTTTGATAGCAATTGACCATCAAAAGATTTCCTGAAAAGATTCTAGAATATAACTATTTAAGTCATCATTAACGCAAAAGCATAACTCCATAATCAGAGAAATATGTTATTCTCAGTTAGACAAACATTTAAAATAAACTGGACTATTCTAGTATCACGAAGTAACTGAAGTCACAGATTTAAACTGTTGGATATGAACGTGGTATTTTGAAGATCCTGGATCCGATGCCTAATGGGGGGTGGTTTATGGGTGAAAAAGAAAGTTCACGAATTTGTTTCAATAATTTGACTAACAACTTCGTCAAGTCAAAAGCATACTAATTTTTAAAATAAATATTGGATTCTATGACACGATTATTATACTTGGTTCAAAATTATTAGAAATAAACAGAAATTAAGTAAGGTAAGGTATGAGAACAGAATAAAAGTTTAACAAACATAGAAAAATTTACCTTTCTAGTGTAATCGATGGATAGTTTTTTAACAAATGGAGGTAATTTCATCGAATTTGTACATTTCTCTGCAGTTTCTTGAGAATTTGTTGTATTTGAATATGCAGTCGATTTTTTAGAACGTGAATTACGTGAATTTTTTCGAGGATTTGAACTACCACCAGGTATACGACTTGTACTCCATGAACTTGTAGGTATCGATTTCTGTTGACTATGTGAATTAGACTGACAGTTAGCAGAATAGGAGTCTTTTAGATTAGTTCTATGTGTATCATCAGTAGTTTGATTGATATTAGCTACATGATTAGTAGTGGTAGTAGTAGTCTCAGATGATTGATATTTTATTCTGCCAACAATTTCAAAAGAAGCTTGTTCGCATTCATTGATAAATTCATTACTGGTATATAATAATAAAAGAGCTAGATAACGTGCCCATTGTAAAGCTTGTTCTGTATAACCATGAGCGTTAAGTGCTTGAAATCTTGTAAAAGCAAACTATAACACAAAAGAAAGAAAACAAACGATATAATTCTGTCCTAAGGAGAGTTCTAATTATCTAGCTTTTTTTTATTGTCATGTCAGTTCTTTCTCTAAACGATAATTCGGACGATGCTTCTTTTAATTCAGGTTTTTAAAACAGTCTTTGCTGTTACTTGATTGGTTGTTAATACTTTTTGTTTCTCAACTTTGCTATTTACCGCAAGGCCAGTGCATGATACTTTATACAGAGTTGTTTCTTTTCAGTTTATGACTTTTGTCCAGAATATAAAGCTGTTTACAAAATTCCATCTCATCTATCTCGTGTTAGCATGTGGACTATTAACGCTGAAGCACTGTTGTGTGTCAGACTTCCAATCAGTTCGAAGTCATAATCGTTTTAGCTCCTATTAGAAAGCATGTCTTCGACAAAGTTAAACAGGAATGGAGAATTGAACTTTAACTAAATCCAATATTTCGCTAGGTAATCTAGTCCAAGCTTTCCCAGGGAAGTTAGATATCGAAATTATCGAATACACATAAATGCATGATTCTCATGTTAATTGTATACGAAACAGGTCATCCAATCCTGTTAATAATGTTGAAAGTATGATTAGTTGCAGTGAGTATGAAACATATGACAAGAAAGGTATAGTACTTATCAGTTCTAGTTCAAACTAAACAGAAATCAGTAACTGGGATTAAGTTTATGCATAGTCAACTTGCAACAACACTGTGTTCTATGAAAGGACTCAAAACAATGTGATTTCGTTTTTTTCTTGCATAATAGTAGACAGTGAAGTAATTAAATTTTGAAACTGCAAGCAAATGGTTGTATAAACACTAAAAAATCTACAAACTCCATTGATGCCAGTACTGATATAAACTCATGAACAAATTAAATATCAAACTGTACATTTTTCGCTCATTATGACTTTACTTTTAATTGTGTTTTTTTTTAAATATGGAAAATTATCATAAAAACATAAAATTAGTGAATAATTTTATGTTCATAGTTAATAATCAATTGAAATATAGAAAACCAATCAGACAAAAAAACAGCAAATTTTATTATAAATCAATTAGCTATAATCAATGTCGAGCCAGGCATATCATATGTGTATCACAATTCAAGTTATCAAATTATATCAATAAAGAACAAAATGAATATTGAATAAATAGAAGAATGAACAATAACAACGATTAGTAGGAAGCATTCAGCTTAGACACAAAATAAAGTCGTGTAGAATAGAATACTGTAATACGATTTTAAAACTTAAAATCTGATACCGTTAAAAACTATAGATAACAGAACAACATTTTACAGTCTCGTATAATAAACAAAAAAGGAGAATATCGAACAGAATAACCCTGGAAATTTTCAGCATCATGATACATGAGGAAAGGAGACGTAGAACACTAGGGAAACACTATCAAATAGTGTGAAAAAAATTATAATAAGGGATTATAATCAAATCCATTAACAACTATCTGCTTTTATAATTAAAAATTAAAATTAAAGAATTAAAAAGGGCGAAAAATAGTCCAGACTTGGAGCCCTATTTCATTGAAAAGACAACCGTAAGTTAAGTTTGTTTTATAATGAATCTGAATGGAAAGTATGTCACTCAATTACACACCATTTACACCATTAGTCAGCTGGCTACAATGAATTAATAGACAAACTAAATGTGAGGTATTTGAATAAAAAAAGCTGCTAATGCCATTATCACAAAAAAATTGTACCGGGGAAGTATTGCACTAAAGATTCTACATGTCTAACTAGCCAACTCACTAAGTGATCTTAATAAGTGCTAGGCTTTGTTTACTGCATTTTATAACATTCTTAATAAATGAAAATATTTAACAGCTTACTTCAATATGATTTTCCGGTAAAGGAAGATTATTAAATAGTTGAGGATTCATTTCATCTATACCCCAATGATCATATAATTCAATTAGACGACTATTGTGGTGACTGTTATGATGATTATCATTTCGTATTGAATTGAAATAGTGTTTTGAGAAATTCAAAATCATATTTGCATAATCTGTAATTTCTGAATCACTGTTCACATGTGCACCAGAAAATAATGGCATAACTATGAAGTAAAAAACAATATTTAAAAACATTTATGGAAATTTTCGCAAAAAGATTAACAAGAGTAATAAAAGTGAAATTATACACCTATTTATTTAACTACAATAATCATCAGGAAGCCATTTTCACTTTATCTACTAACAGCATCAAAAAGTACCCAGAAAGGAATTTAGAGAGATTGTTGGATTTTGTGAAGTAAATCACAGACTAACCTCAGTTGGGCAACCACTGAAAATCAAAAAGTTTTGGAAAGCTGTTTAATCCTGCTATAAGAGTCCTTGACAGTGCGGACTAACAATTCCATCGGATACAAGATAATACTAATAAACTCATTTTCACCAAGTACTTGGGTATGAGCCACACTATAAGCGTGGAGATTAATGAAACTATCCAGTTGCCCAATCTAAAGTGGATGGAAAAGGGTGTGAGACTAGGGCTTAATGATCGAAAGTTTAATTTCTTAACTAATGGGTCAACCCCCGACATACACAACGGAGGATCGAACTCAGGATTGTTTAGATCTTGTTGAGAGTACTTCATCTTTAGACCATTGCATAAGTACCCAATGAGTTACAATTTTAACTTAAATAGATTTGTGATATTGGACGATCATCACCCAATACCACTGCCAGACAACTGCCTAACACTTAGAATTGTTTAGTTTTACTAATTATACACTAAACTTTATGGCTATTAAATACATAGGTATGATGATCACAGTTAGCGTTCTTAATTAGTATTTAAAAATAAATTTTTAATTTCATACAGATCTTCTGCTAGTATACTATAAAAAGATTTTAACACTAAAATACATGTAAAAGCATTCGAGAAATAAACTACAGTGTATGGATTATAAAAACTTGTGGCTGCATATTTTTCATGAAATCAGAATTTAAACATTACAAATAGTGTAGAAAGGATGCAGAGAACATACATTTCAAAAATTCAGTACCGGAAAGACCATAAGTAGGCGGAACTTCAGAAGACCATGAAAGTCTAAAATTATGAACAAAATTCTTAAGTCAATATTTTTAGAAGAAAAAAATAGATTTTTAAAAAATTGTTTATTCCAAAGCTATTTTAATCATAAATTGATATCAACTGGCAGACACTAGTTAGGAAACAATAAATGCTAGACGGTTATTTCAACAAAGGCTTGAAATTATCTTCAATTTTGCACCAATGACCATAATTGGGATGAAACTCAAGACTTGAACGTCTTGCAACCAGAATGAAACCACTGAGTCATCGATTAAGAATACAATAAGTCTAAGTTTCTAACTTCAATCAATTTACAATATAGTGTGTTCCGGTAAGCTCGATGTGATTCAGGTGTTAACACTCAATCCATTAGATATACGATATATTTCAGTAATAACCAGTCACAGAAGAATAATTAGATTGTGTATATTCTCAGAACTATGGGTAATTGGTTATGCGCAATTGCCTTTGAAAAATCAAGTGTAAACTTAATTCATCGTTCAATAGATTTAAATAAGGAATACAACAACTACACAAAAGTAAACAGCTCTGAACTAATCTTGCAGTAGGTTGCATCTGTTAAATCTTCAGATTAAGAGTTTGGGAGTGAATGCTACAGTTATCTTCATACGTTACGGTTTTCCAGTGGAACTGCAGGGAAATCTTTCTAAAAATTATCAATCAGTTATTGTTGACTGGAATGATCTGGTGATCATTTTTACAGTCGAACAATAAGTACTATTTTAGACATACAATATTGATCTACAACCAATGTTTAAATTAAAATCTTCCCTAGTGATCCCATGCATCAAAAGTGATGTATGAACTATGATGTGAAAAGAGAACATGAAATATTAAATCAACGCTTGATTGAATAAACCTTCAATTTGCTCACTGGTTTACACAAATGCATGATCTGATATATCTTCAATGTGATGGGATAAACCCTGAAATCAGAAGTAAGGAATTTATACTATTTACAATTAGAATCCTTGGATATTAATAGTTTATTTAATAAACTCTATTTTGTAAGTATACATACTTAGATTAACGAAAGTGAAGCAACAGTTCAGTGTTTTAAAAAGTATTCGATTATCATCATCAGTCCTACCTAATTCGGTATCACTAATCATCATCACACAAAACAAAGTATTAATCAAAGGTAGTAAAACGAACGTAAATCAGTTTATTGATTTTTATTACATTATATCAATTAAAGTTAATCTAAATTGAGGCAATAGAATTGTCAATTGTCCATTAACCGAATTCCGACATAAAAGTTACTATGAACAGATAATTCAAAACATTTTTTCATTGATCAGTCGAGAAATATAGCGAATAAAATCATTGAGTATAAAGTATTGTGGATTATGATCATGTGGAAGTACATTGGAATAAAACGAGGGACTCCACAAATTTATTGAGTGTTCGACTGTGGTGTATTAGGTTGACGCGGACTACTTGATTGGAATTAAGCGATTATCAAAGCTAACGATTGAAGACGCTAGGTGATATAGTTCAAAATAAATTATGATGAAGTAGATCGATTAACTTGCTTTATTTCTTATAAAATCTAGAATTTCAAAATTATTTTGTGTTTTCTATTTTATTAATTCATTCAATCGTCTTCAATCATATTCACTAGGGCTAATTTAATTTATTATCTTTGATACCACTGTTTGATAATTAATTTTGACTCTCCTAATGTAACTTGAGTTAGTGATTATTATGTTAAGTTCAATATTTTTAATAACTGATTGATTTGCTACATACCAAATTATTACAGAAATGAATTGTTCATTAATTAACTACTTCACAAAGTTATATAAAATTCAACAAGAACAAATCACAAAGTGAACAAACATGAAATGTATATCTTCTCTTGACTATAAGATTACTTTTTTGAAGAATATGAAAATGAAAACGATATAGATAAATATTACTGTTGAACATAATTCTAAATGAACTGAAAGTTAACATTTTCTAGAAAAATAATTAGTTACCTGCAAGCTCCGAGAGCTGGTGCAAATCCCGAGAACAATGAAATATTTTTTGGTACTGAATATAAACCATCTTGAAAAAATATTTCATCAGGAAATAATCCATTGCCTAATGTATCACACCAAACCATTGTCATTGCATTTTTTGCAGTTGTGTTCGTTAAACCTAAGTGAATATTAGCTTGTTTTAAAGCGAATGAATGAAATGCTTCTAACCTATGCGCGATTTGTTGTAAAAGCCAACAACAATCTGAATAAGATTTACAATTTCCAGTAGAAAACCAGTCATCTCCATTTGATGATGGTGAAGGTGATGATGATAATGATTTATGGCTGACATGATTTAAAACTGGTCGAAGTTCAGGATTTAAACAAGCTAAGCTCCAAAGTTGAACAATTTCTTCACATAACCAAACAGCAACACATTGAGTTTGTTTTTCACGAACATATGAACTTTCAGGAAAGTGACAAGGATTAGTTTGAACAGTATACCACCAAGACATGACCTATAAATGGCGATAATAATTGTGTTTTATATTCTGAATAGCTAAATAAAAATAATCAGTTTATAGCCTATGAAAATTTTTTATAGCCTACTTCTATTAAAATGTTACACACTTCAATGTATTCGCCACTTTGAACCATAGCGTGTTGTATGAAAATTAATGATGATACTATTTGGTGCATAATAAACTAAGGTTGAGAGATTGAAGTTTAGAAAAATGTAGCTCAACATTTAAAAGTTCAATGTTTAGAAACGATTCACTCTATTAATATTACGGTAACTTTCTGAAAAATATTAAAAAAAACATTTATTTTACTCAATTTTCTTTATAACAATTTATCATATGTAAAATATCAAAAAATTAATTGTTTTTAATCAAAGTAATTATCATTAAAATCTGTGAAACTAAACCAGAAGAAGATATAAAAACTTTGTACTATTTTAAATGCGAAAAATTAATAAACTTTACACTAAAATGTATATGCTATTCAATGATCAAGTGAATACTTCATTTGTATTATTGTGGTGGTGTTTCGTTCTCTGAGCTGGTTGTTTTGGTTGTGGAGCTTTCATTGTTCTTCTGAACAACATCATCAGCACAAACTTCAGATGCTTCGAATGCTTCACTTCTATCTGAAGTTTGTGCTGATGATGTTGTTCAAAAGAACAATGAAAGCTCCGCAACCAAAACAACCAGCTCAGAGAACGAAACACCACCACAATCATCCACCTGAGCTACAAGTTTTCTCAACCATCTCATTTGTATTATTTCAAAAAAGGAAATAACTTCATATCACAATGGCACACAGCAAATAAGAAGAATATGACAGCATTACCCAACACTACAAAATATTACTAATATTTGATATAATTTTTGAACATTTATTACGTGTTCATTTAATAAATAATTATTATTCTTGGAAAGTTCATAAAAGCCGAAATACTTTATCTAGTTAGTAAGTCAGGACCTTAAATAAATTTTATTAAGTTCTAAACGTCAATATATTTATGTCCTTACTTACTTTGATTCATAAAATTTGCATAATAAAACCTACAAAATTGCTTGTGACTTTATACGAATAAACATTGAGTTCGGTAGTATATTCATTACACTGCTCATCATTTTTATGTGTTCAAAGTTCAAATTTCATTGAGAGATTAGAGTTTAAACAAAGACTAGAACAATTAATATAAGTAAGCCTTAAAAAGCTTAAGCATAACACAATGATCGAATTTCCAATAAACAAACCTAACAACGATTATTGACAATAAGAAATAATAGTGACTGTTCATTGTATCACATTATTTAAACCAATCAACCTAGTTGTTTTATAATTAGCAGAAGTACGATAAATATGAGCTATAATCGGCATACGTAGTAGGATATACCTTAAATACAGACAATTTCAAGGAAGCATATACAGAGAACTCAAAGCACAAACTGTCAAAAATGAATGATTCCACTTTACGGTGAAAGGGTTACTATAAAAATGTTATACGCTACAATATACGTTCAAAATCATTATGAGAACAGAAAGCAGTTAAGCAAATGATATTCATCTATCTAACAAGTGTGTTTAATGCGTTGAAGTGCCCTATACTACGAATAAAATAAAAGACAATTATTAAAACAGAAAAGTAAATAAATAGATAAAAATAGAATAGTTTTATGAGTGAGTGTGTATTTTATGTATACTCAAAATTCATTGAATCAACAGTGATTATTAACATTTACTATCTCAATTAACAAAACGTATATATATCTATGCCTTTGTTACTGATAATCAAAAGTAAACATTTGCGATTAATTTCTCAGTAGATGGTAGGTACTTAACAAAGTAAATAATGAAACTAATAAAAAATCATTATGAAAATTGACAAAATCATATACTAAACGACAAAAATCAATTAAATTCTGACTGCGATTTCATTCTTACGTAGTTCTAACTGTCAATATTTCTAAACTGGTGAAATAGATGGTAACAAAAATACTGAGTTTTAGAAACTGAAAAGAAAACTTTTTTTTAATGAAGTTCTTATATGATACAATGACAAAATCAAGTGTATATAAATTGTTCCAGGTATGAATAGTTGTTTTACGGCAGGTTTTATGTGAAAAAAACAAACAATCATAATACATCGTTTCAATGTTGAAACATATCATGATTATCTAAAACTGATGAATATATGCTCTTTTTTTATAAATCTTTCAATCTGATTACTATGCACATAAAGGTGAATATTTTACATGAACATTAATAACAACAACTGAAATCTATGAATAGTGTATTTTTAAGTATGCATAAAAATAGAGTAAATAGAACATTACCTCACTAATATCTAAAATGCATCGTGTAACAATTTCTAAGAGTAAAACACCATTATTATCTTGTCTTTTCATCATATCTTTAATGAATGATAATAATTCCCAGAGGCCACGTGGCTCATTGGCACGATAAGAACGAAGTATACAGTGAAAATTCTCCACTTCCGTAGGTGAATTAAAGCTTAATGATGCAATATCACTGTACAGTACAGGTCGTGGAGCCCAAAACCTACGTAGTGTAACTCGTAATTTCTCTTCCAATACACCACCATCGAAACACCATGCTGCTGCATCACCCATAGCTCCACCAACTGTTGGGTCTATTAAAATGAAATATTATCAACAAATATGTGTAAATGATTTACAAAATGCAATCATTGACAAATAAAAATTTACCAAATTAACCTTTCAATCAGTCGAAATGAAATTTATAGAAAATAACTAAAAATGCGTTTATTTATTAAACATATGTACACTTGCAATAGTATGATAAGTGATTTCAAAACAAACAATTATACAAATAAACTACTATAAAGTCATACTAACAACATTTAAAAGTGTATTAAACTTCGCCTGCAAATTTGTAGGTTTGTTTTCTGGTGATTTAAAACAATCTTACTCACTGGTCTGATGAACAGATGAAAGTATTCTAAAGGCGGTATAGTAGTACTCCATAGATGTTACCCACCCCCTTCTTACCACTCATCAGTTGGCTTAAACACCAACACAAATTTAAAATATGGATAAATTGGATCAAATATTTAAGTAAACGAAGGAAAGATAAATGTAGGTTAATAAGGTGTTTAAGCGAAGAAAAGGTGAATATGAGTCACCACAACCGATGATGAACCACCATTTCTGATTTCTAACAAATTGAGCAGTACAAACACAAAATATACAACCTCCAGACTAACAACCGATTTCTATATGATATTCAGATTGGAGGACACTGAAGATATTTCCACTAATTTCAATCAAAATCATCATGCTTTATGCCATACATTAGAACAACACATATAAGCGAACAATATTGTTTTCGATTAGATCGTCATCAGGCTTTACTCTAATATACATGAATATTCATATGAGAATGTTAAACCAATCAAGGCAATTTGAGTTATAATCACAATGAAATGAAAAAGATTACGTCTGTTATATGTAGTGACGATCTAATCGAAACCAATATTGTTGGCTTATATGTGCTGTTCTAATTTTCACAATGGGAATCTTTAATATTATGCCATAAAGATGGTTTGAAACCTAGATCCATGTGACTCGTTTGTTTCATCGCTCATGAATAGTTAACTTTTTTAATCTAATGTACTGCTCCCAAAGTTACCATAATATCAACATATTAGAAATGGACTCATATTTCTAATCTTTAGGATGAGTCCGATCTATTGTATACGTATCAAACATCTATTGTAAAACCGACCACAGAAATAGTGCAGATCAAAATCACTACTAAATGTTACGGTTTGATTCGTATCACCGAATGAATCAAGTTACAATGTGACCATTGTTCAAGGAAACTTGATATCGCAATGTATTATCATTTTTATGCGTTAGACGATAAATCTACGAGTATTTGGTCATTATTAAGGACAAGACAATATGATACAGGTTTTTATTTAGTGATCAATTAATGCAACTATTGTTTTTCTTATTTTATCAACAAATATAAAATTCTTATAAATGATACATACCAGGGGCTCCAGCAGAATTTTTAATCGGATTATTTGTCGCAGCCAATAATTGATCTAAAATACGCTGAGCAGCTGGTAAAATCTATGGGAGAAGAAAAAGGATAAAGTGACAATGAAACTGGAAATAGTCAGTCGTGCAATGAACTGATGGATTCAACTATTACTGCGTTAATAATCAGTAAATATAAAATCCGTAATACAATACAACTACAAAGACACGTAAACTGAAAGGAACTAGATATACTACTAGTTGAGAACAGCTTTGTTATGATGATAAAATAACATACAACCAAAGAGATGTCGCACATGTAGAAATAACAATGGCAAAATAAAGTTGTGAAATCATGAGACTGTCATAATTTAGAATTTTTTTCATTAGAAAACTAATCGACTGGATGGCGACTTATTAGTTTAAGCATTCAACTTCTATCCGTTAAGTATTAAATTGGAACTAAGATTCATTTATGACGATTCGGGTAGTAGGGTAGTAGTATTTCAACAGAAAAGTTGAAATGCACCAATTATACGACTTAGAAGAACGTATTAACTAATACTAATGGAATACTATACATAACAAACATACGCATCACGGGGGCTGATGCAAATTTATGTTGCTGCAAACAATCACACTTCATATTCACATAGTTCGATTTAGCGAGATAAAAAGCCAAAAATTGAAGACAATGATATCAACAGTAAGCTAACACTAAAAACAATTCAGAGGAATTAATACTCATAAGAATGAAAAATTATGCAATAATAATAAAGTTCAAGACTTTTGGAGAAAGCCAAATCATCTAGTTGGAACAATAAAACAAACGATGTAATAAGTATTCTTCGTTACCCTATTAAAATCCTGAAATCCTTAACGAAAACGGAACATAAATAGACGCCATAACCTTTCGAATAAATTTAATGAAACAAATAGATTGAAGGGAAGTGACCAGTACACTATGAATAAGGAACTGTGTCCAATAATATGACTCAAAGAAAAACATTACTTTTAATGCAAAGTTACAAACTTACTTTTCTAGGGCCTACATGACAAATTAAATTTTGAGCAAATTTTTGTAAATCTTCTCTACTTAATTTTGATAAGGACTCTGATATAGGAGCACGTAACAAAACTTTATCAGGTTGTCGAATACGCATTAAACATGTGGCAACAACATGTGAACACCATGTTCCTGTTGGATTTTGCCCACTTGCAGGCATTAAATCATTACGTACGTCATTTTGATTTGAAATATGTTGATTAAACAACCAAGAACGACGACTATTCGGAGACGTTTGATTACATGAATTTTTTGGCAAATAATTATTATTTAAAAGATAATTATTAGGTTGATTAGATGCTTGGCGTGAGTTTATATGAGAATTTGTAAAAATTGATCCATTTCTAGCACCGGAATGCCACAGCATTGCAGAATTTGGTTCTGTTGCAGTCATTGGTTGATAGGCAAAAGAATTTGATTTTATAGAATTATTAATGTTTTCCGTTGGGTCTAAATTTAGCATATTATTATCGCCAAAATTTGAAGGTGATGCAACAGCTGTACATCGTTCTTCTAAATCGAAAGTACACGTGCATGAGCATGAGGTTATCCTCTGCCGATCGAATGTCAATGAAACTCGATGAGCAGGATAATCAGGCTCGATATTAATTCCACGTTTTCGCAATCTATTACCATTATAATTACTATTGGTAGCATTAGTAGCAGCATTAGTGTTATTGACAGTGTTTTCATTTGTAGTACCGAAATTCTCAACATTTGACTGCCCACGGTGTGTATCATTTGAATTAGGATTGATAACGTACGGAATGAAATGATTAACAGAACTAGGATTATTATTATTATTTGTGCTATTTTCTTCATTATTAGCTGGAGGTACAAAAGCAGGTGCAATATGAAGACTTGTCAATACAGTTGCGCTCAAATGAAATCCTAATTAGAAGAAACCAAAAAGAATGAAATAAAAATATTAAAATTGAACAAACAAAACTTACGTACAGGCTAAACATCTAACTAGTACAATTGTGTCAAAAATATAAATCCATAAAACAAGGATGACAATATTCGTAGAATACGATGGATTCACTGCTTTTTCTTTAGCCGCATACAATCTAATATGTTTAACTAGTTATTAACATAATTTTAAAAATGACATTTTTAAGTTAATGACGAATAACTTGCGTTTAGCGTGAAAGAAATTAGGAATCAAAGTTTTAGGAAAAGGGCTTCTTTTTATAGTTGCTTGAGGTAATGGTCCTAGAACATAAATAGAATTTTATTGAGTAATAACAACTAAGGTTTGAAAGTTTAGAAAGGAGAAGAGGACATGTGAATTCAACTCATCGAATTACTATTACAATTACTTTTAAAAAAATTCAGAATGTCACCTAGGAAAGTGAAGGTTAACTACTGACTTCGTTTAAGTATAACAGTCAGGTTCAGCAGGCCTTCTAATAGCTATCTTCTGAGAACTTTAAGAAATTGTCTGCAAGAAGGCAGATATTTTCAATCAATTTAGAAAAGATATACAGTACCAACCAGAATCAGAACATCCAAACGAGGCTAGGAGTCTTTGATTTTAAAAACTACTATATTTACATACCTATTTGAACACATTCTTTAACAGCTTTGTCAGCCCACAATGCTTCACCTTGATTGAATTCATACGAACCTCCGCTGCTGAGACAGGAATACAACCATATTTCATCTTCATCAGTTGGAAAGCTATGAAAAGCTATGAGTCTCTGCAATTCTTCTGGCACGGTAACTGGACTGGATTCAACAACCTCAAATGGGAAGTGTAGAGCGATTGCTTTGGCTGTTAAGACGAGTAATGACTCTGGTGAATTGAAGTGTTTACCTGGATTAAGAAACAATACTACATCTGGTAGGTGAACATTAAAAAGTTAATGTGATGTGGACAAAAGTTATCTTAAATGGTTAAATCTAATGCATAAACCACTTGTAGATATTTACGGCTATAAATTAAAAGTCAACATTTGGATAATGATTTCAAGCATCCGATTAAAAAGATTTATCTAAAATATAATAATGTTAGGAATATTATTCAATAACATTGGTTTCTCTTAATTAACTATGGTCATTAAGATTAAACACACCCTATAGGTGGTACACATATACCGACAATGAAAAAGCCTCCACGCGATGAGCTTTACTGAAAAAATCCGAATCTTAAACTGTATCAGCTGACAATTCGGATATGTACCTGAAACAAATCGCTAAGTAAGGATAAGCGTTGGGGATTTCAGTTTTGATTACTTTCACTAGTATTTATGAAGCTGTATTTTTCTATAATTCTCATATTTCCGTAATGTCATAGACTAGTTGCAGCTTAATATGAGCTGTTCCGTTGCAAACCCTTTCATCTGTCTTTATTGGTTTACAAGAACACTACAATGAACTTGAACCCCATGATTAATATGAATAATTTTGTTGAAAAAGATTGATATTTTGGTGTGCATGCTTCACATGACAAACAAGGAGATCTCGTTGTGTTAAAAACGAAAAAAGAGGGATCTCAGTTCAATAATCGTCCATTTATTCAGGTACTAACAAATATCACTGGGGAATTTTTTTAATATATTTCTACCACTTTTTGTTTTTAACAGTGACATTAACCAAGGCATAAGGTTAAGACCGACTTAATTAAAGCTATCCATGCTGTCATGAAATCAGCAACAAATAATATCAGCAAAATTGAAACGTAGACCGGAAACTGTTAGTTATCAACAGCTGATGGTGTGATAGATTGTAGTAACACAAGTTTATTTAAATATTTGCATCTTTTGAGGTTAGTTCTGACTGAAGCAGTTTTAAATTAATATTCTACATGATATATCTCATGTTTTCGAAAGATATTCTTTTTAGCTTGGAAAGCCCTTGAATAAAGTTCCATCCATACTTGAATTGTTCTTAAACAAATATTAGAGGGAAGCAATCTTCATGATGTCCAAAATTATAATGTTATTGTGCTGTAAATCGGAAAAAATAAAATATGGAGAGTAAGAAGTAACATCCGAACTAGAACGAAGTATGATAACTGAAGATGATGGAAATAATCACAAATTAATCGCGCTCAAGCTTTTTTGTTCAACTTTAACCACCTTGCTTGAAATGTAGAAGAACCAACCTTACGTCTTGCTTCCTTTACTTGTACTAAGCAGAACATGAAATTTCACTGTAATAAAGTTGAATTTTACAGAATGAACGAAAAGCTAACCCTTAAGTACAATAGTTATACCATCAGAAATATTTAATAGCGTTAAAAAGACGAGAAACTTTAACTACCAAATGGGAAGACCCTAGTTATTATTTCGACTCACGGTTTAAATCTTCTTCCTTATCACAAACCCCCTTCTTTAAGGACCTGAACGTGAAATCCAAATCAAACTCGCTACTAGGAGAATAAATGGAAAAGTCCATTTCACTATAGACTTCATTGGGGGTTCGCGGAGAAGAATATGAGCTCATAGTTCTCTTGGATTGTATACGCGGTTAAAAAATGGTTAATAGCCGGTATGTAATAGGACCCAATCCAGACACGCGGATATTTAAAATGTAAGCACAGTTTAAACCTAAAAATTCAAAGACTATTTTGAGTATTTCAGCAAACGATCTTATCAATCTGCCTATCAGGCACAAAACCGACAAAATTGAGAAATCTGAGTGACAACACTGGTGAAAAAATACTTAGTTACATCAACACAGGATAGTTTAATAAAAATTATCACTACTAGAAATATGATTACTGATTATTGCTATAGTCATCAAGTTTCACGAATTATAAGAGGTATATCGTAAAGTGGCAATGATGTTTGAAGAAGCGTGTGCGTTTTCGTATTTTTCTAAACTTAGTCTTTAGAAACGAGTTTAAAATGAAACAGGAGCAGATAGTAGGAAAACAGGTGTATCCTAGAATACACTATTATTAGGCACACCATACTCAGTCAGTGCAATAGTGGACTTAACTACAAATTGTCGCTTTCTACTAAAATAGGTCAAATTATTGGCTGGCACCCATGTTGTGTGATCAGAAATGGGAGCCACCTGGAGACTTAATCTGCTAATCAGTATGGCTTTTTGGTGTACTTCCGCAATGATTCTTAATTTCTTGCTCAAAAATTTCACTTTTTGACTTTCGGAATCAGTATTAGCTCCATCTGAGTCGTAAGATAAAACGACTTCAAGATCGACTTCATTAACAGGTTTTCAGCCAGCCCCCCAGATTCCATTCTTCATGATTGTCGAGAATTCCTCGTTCTTACATTTGGAGACTAAGTGTTTAATTCTTCCAGTAGGTGCACTTGCAGTGCCTGTCATTGAAAGGTGTACCAAAGAAGTACATTAACCTTATAAAGGCTTTCTACCCAAACACCACTCGTCGAGTCAGAAATTACGATGAATTGTCATCGGAACTGATTACTTCAAGTGGTGTCCGCCAAGGATGACCACTTTCTCCTTCCTTGTTTAACTTTGTCATAGACATGCTTTTAGAGATAAGATTATCTTGTCTGAATTTCAAGGAGTGGATCTTTTACTATGAGACTCGCTTGTTGACTTAGAATATGCCAATGACATAGTTCTAGTTAGAACATTCCTCGTATACCGTGGGACAACCGAGTAAGCAATGCTGTTGTTATGAAACGAGTACTAGGTAAGGATGGCAGATGAATTGAGGAAAGAGTGAAACCTAATACGATGAGGTGGTTGGGACATGTGTTACGTATGCCCAATCACCAACTACCTGGACAAGCTATGTTTTGTGGCCTAGGGGTAGGGTGGAATAAACCTAGGAGCGGCCAGATCAAAAAATGCCACAAATCCATGAAGTCACTGACACGTGAACTTAGCTATGTTGGTAGGTGTAAACTACCTAGTTGGTGTCCATGAGACAATAGTAACCGATGGTTAGAGACGTTGGATGATACGGTTGAAGATCGCTTGAAGTGACACAGATGCATCTATTCTTTGTCTTCTCTCAAATTCTAATGTTCCTCAATACATTTTTTTCTCTCTTTAGATTTACTTCACTGGGTTATACTTCTTGAATAATATCTTCGAGCCATCTAGAAATACATAATATTATAGTATCATATTTTCCTTCCATCTTGAACTGAAGCTGTGAAAGGAAATTCTCAGAAGTTTATAAGCCAGGATCGAATCATGTACATCTGAAGTTTTGGTCTTTATATGGAGTAGCGGACTACAGGAATTCTGAAACAGAAGTAGTGTTAGCATCTTTTGGCGACACATTGACAACGAGGCTAAATCCTCCGCCACGCGGGGACCAACGTAAATCACTTGAAATTCCATGTTTACCTCGTAAGACCGAAGAAAATTACAGCCAACTATTGATTACTTCATGAATAATTACTCAATTATATATAGTGATGCGCAACTCTAGCGTTCTACAGAACAGGCATTATTACCAGTGTTAGTGCATAGTCAACTTAAACTTAGGCCCATAAACCGGAATAAACCATACTGATCTAGAGATCAGAATTAAGCAAACTTTAATGAAAAACATCAACTATATTTTAAGCACATAGGGAAGTTATACTCCAGAAGAAGTAACATTTTGAAAACCAATTTTATGGTTAAACAAAGAACAAAGTAATTCCCTAACATACAAACAAAGGCTAGCAATCAGCCTTATAGATGGACGTCAGAAAGCGAAACCGTGCAAACAAACTAACCGCTGAGTATTCCGTGACCTTGGATCAATAAACCTTCATGTAACTGAAGTGGATGCACACTGAAATAATAAAGACTATTGACATATATGACATCTTTCTCAGTGTGCTCAGATGTGATTTGGCACAATGAACAATACATTATCTGCTTTTTATTGGTTTATCCTCTTTTTTGGATTCACAGATGTTTTTGAACATCAAGGTATTTTATACTTATTATACGCGAACACCAAAAGTGTTAGATATTAGAAGTCCTTCGCCTCTGCCTTGCAACAAATTCCATTCTGGTCTGACAACATTGAAGTATTGTTCTGCCTTTCAGTTGATGACTTCCTTGCAGTATGGAAGGTTTTTCGAAGATTTCTTCAAGCATGAACATTTAATCGAAATTCCTGAATTTTCAAGTGTTCGTCTACCGCCTAATTTCCTCTCAAGTATAATCGGAAATTCGCTTAAGGTTGTGACTGTAGTAAATCCACTTTGATGAAGAGGACGCGATTGGTTGAACAGGAACAATCATTATTATAACCAATTGTACCAGTGATTGTTTCGCTGTATATTTTATCTACTACACTCTGTACAAGCAAACCAAGTTCATTCATTCCGCCTCCGCAAACTATTATGTATAACCTGTACATCCAAGGATAAGAGAGATTTTAAGGCATGATAACTACACTAAGACCTCATTGCATTTCTCTTCTTTCGTAGGTATACTTCATGACCAAAGAAAAGGTTCACATATTCCTCTTCATAAAATGGTTATAAAGTTGGAGACTTATAACTATGGACTAGTTACCTACCTTGCCTGAACTGCAAATATCAGGAAAAATGTCGTAATTTTGCACCTCGTATTTTTTTACACGAAATCTCTATCTCCTCCGAATCTAAACTTATGGTGTTCACAGGCAAATATGTTGTAATAAAATACACTCCCTAGGAGCATTGGAAACCATCAGGAGAGTACACCCATTCTGTACACCTTGGCTTTGCACATTTTCTCAGAAATATAACGGCGTTAGTCATCGATGCCGCTACTTGAAACACCACAAATGTGTATTTTATTGTGAGCCGACAATAAGAAATTATTATACACCCACCATGTGACTTCTTAATAATTCCAGTATTACACATTTTTTTGAGAAATTCCTATGTACTTCGCAGTGCGACTGTTTACATCTTTATTCTCTCAGGTATTCTACATAAAGTAAACCTTAATGTCGTACTGTTACTCTCTATAACGTTTGAAATTCTGATCACCAAAGTATGTGTACTGTTTGCAGCGCTTTAAGACGTCATTCAGAATACTGTTTAAATTTTTCCTTTTATTTCAGTGGTTATATTAATCTTACAAAATGATTTCAAAGAACTGAACCTAATAGTAATTGGCACCAGAAAATCTATTTGGCACGACGAATGAAACTTTTGCACTACAGAAGATTAAGTGCAAATGTTCTTGCAACCTGCCGTATACTTTTGAACCACCTTTCCGCTAAACCACTGGTCAGTTTTCATATCTCACTAATACTAAGATAACACAGGCTAATTGTTAAACACTGAAGAACATTTGTCAGATGGCGCTCGCATTTCTCCCTGGATGAAATCAGTGAATAGTGTGATTCACCACAGGCAGGGATAATGATGCAGTCTCCTACTGATATATTTTTTCATGCAGATTCGATTCTAATGACTAAAGCCTGCAGATGCTCGGTTCGAATGACTATGAACACGTCTTTAAACTGATCACTTTCGGGTGACAAATCCCTTATCGAAAGTAAGAAGACAGGATTAACCATATAAAACAAGAGTATTTTCTGGTGATCTCGTGGTGCCAAAGAATTGGGCGAGGAGACAGAGCAGAAAAGTCAACACAGCAACTGCGTGAATAAGTCAGGGCGTTACAGAGGTACGAATAAACAAAACCTTCGGTAAAATGTTCACTGGTACAATCGGTTATAATAATGAGTGTTGTTACTTAACTGATCATGTTTTTTCATAAAACTGAAATCATTATAAATCACAACAGGTTTCATTCCGAAATCGCTTCGACGAGTGACTAAAATTCTTCTCTATGTAAACTAAGACACGCTCTTGAACGATTAGAAATTTTTCCATTACTACTCAGTAAGATTGGAAATATAAAATCTTAAAAATATGAATGTGTTTTACTTGGAATGTCAATGTCTACAATCAAGTATGGACTGTAATTTCAGTCTTTCTGAATGCTTACATAGGTCATTTAAACAGTTGACATGTACACTAACAATCAACTGAAGTGAAGCGAAATTGGAATAAATAAACACCATACTAGGTTGAATTAGTGAGAAGATTGAATCAAGACGAATATCATAACTTTCCGCAATTATGATGGGATTACCGGCAACTGTTCTGGAGTTTAAGTAACACGTATTAGAATGTCCAGAAATCCTACTAAATTACGGCGATCTGGTCTTAAAGTGTAACCAATTGCTCAATAAAAAAGTATAATTTGGATTGCAGCAATCTAATGCTTAGAGTACGAAACCATGTGCACATTGTGCACAAATTACCTTGAATATTAACAGAATCAAGGAAAAGTAGAAAAATATTAACGGAACGACACATGGAAAAAGATATATTACAAAGGTAATCTGACAAGTGGTAAGAATTAGAATGGGCATGAATATAATTAATGAAATCTAAATTATCTACTTAACACAAATATTCTTGTTCTGACTTTAGATTCCAAATTGATGACACCATTGATGAACCTGACTATGAATAATCCTTCTAATTGAACTG